GAATAGTCTAATACATGAGTGCGTGTTTAAGTGCTCATGAACAGCATGACATCATCTGGCATACATTTCAGTGCAGAATACATGCAGGGATGTTAGGGCTGCTATTTTAGTTAGATGCCCACTTTTTTAAAAAGATATATTAGAATATTGTGATAGTTTCAATGTTTGGTTAAAGGCAAAACTGTGCCAAGAGCACCATTAGGTGCAAATCTACAGCAGGCCTGCTCTTGTCAGCCAGCCAGCAGACAAGCACTGCTCCTAACTCACACCGGGTGTTTTCCTTGGATGTTTTTTTTCTTTACCCACCTGGATGCGGGAAACCACTGAAGCCTTCAAATCTGTTTAACAAAACAGAATGTTACTTGAAAATAAGAGACAACAATAGAGAGCGAGTGTAGTTATTTCAACTTTCTCTTTCTAATTATTAGAGATGTATAAAATCATATTGATGCCAGGTGTTCTCATTTTTTTCTTCCTTTTTAATATGATATTACCATGGTTTCTGCTACACTGTTTGGATCAACAGCCATTTGAAAAGACAAAGTACCCCGCAATGTGTCATTACAGGCAGCTGTGCACTGTTTACAATCTCAACCGGCCTCAACAAGTGTCAAACCCACAAGAAAAATGGTCATATTTGTGACATGTTTATATCTAGACATCCCATCTGAATCTCATGACCATTGAAAAGGTCTTTGGACATAAAAAAAAAAAAAAAAAAAAAAAAAAACAGCAAAGATTTGATGATTAGGTTATTATTCTGATTCATGGGTTTTCCCCCCAGCTGTCTGTTTGCCTGACACAGATGTTGTAGATTAGATTACGGTGATTGAGTGTAACGTAAAGTGGTAATAAATTACAAATCTGACTGACCTAAAGGCACTATGAGGGCCTCAAATGTAAACGATGTCCACATTACAATTAGCCCATTTCAAGCTGACAAGGACAAAACCTGGCAGGTTCCAGTTTAACATAATCAAAACAAACCAATAGTCATTGGTATTGTTTAACCAAAGAACATTGTGCGTTTTAGGAATGCAAACCATGTAATCTGGATAATACTTGTCCTCAATATGACACACAAGATGGAGAATGTCAAAAGTGATAGTTTATCCAAGAATTGTTCTGTATATTTTGAAGAATGTTCCAACAATGAAAGTCAATGGGGTCCAAAAGGATGCTGGACTGTGCGATCAAAATCATAATACAATCGCGATCTGTGAGCATGAGCAATTTCTAAACCGCAGAAAGCATGATTTTTCCACCAGCCCTTTAAGCAAACCTTAATCTAGCGCAAGAACAGGAATGAGTGGGTTTACCATTATGCATGAAAGAAAGCACAGAAACAAGGAAGGTGAATTCAGAACAGGATATGGACAAAAATAAATAAATCTAAATCTAAATCTGTGGTTTGGGAATATTTTGGATGCAGGAGAGATGATGTATCAGAGCCAGGTAATTTGCAAGACCTGTCAAACTATCACTGCGGAAAAAATATTTTAGACGTGTTTTTGTGGTTAAAAACATGAGACGCAGGTCTAGAGATGCGTTTTTTTAAAAGTTAAACTTCTTTTACTATGAGCGTAACGTACTGTAGTACGTTGTGTAATGAAAGAGATGCGAAAAAGATTCTTCCAAACCAGGTATGCAAAAAACAATACAGGTATTTGCAAACTGCACATCATGCGAAAAGAGTTAAGGCATAAAGAAATAACTGGCATTGTCATGTATTATTTATGAAAATATATGGTGCCCATAAATACAATAAAGCTGGCTATATAAGTAGCCTATGTGTGTAAGGAAATATTGTTTTTAAAATAAATCAAAATCAAAATTTATATTATTATTATTTTTTTGTCCATGTCGCACAGCCGCTGGACAAATTTGGTACAAATTTACCTTTATGTTGAAGCCCACTGACTTTCATTATATGGGCAGAAAAAAAAATGTTGAAAAATGAAACCAAGACAAACAGGTTTGGATAAACGGTGACAGAATTTTACATTTTGGCCCATTTAAAAACAGGCTTATCTATGACATCACTGAAATCAATCGTATAGCCTAATAACATACGGCATCCCATAGAGAGACCGACAGAGACCAGATTGGAGTTTTTAGTGTGATGTGTGAGAAAAACGCACTGAATAAAATGTTTGTTAATCTTTAAGAAACTAGCTACTAAATTCTGGCAGCTGAATAAGCACTCTCTTTCATTCAAGACTCATGTTATTCATATATTAACATATGGTTCTATTTTCCTTTATCACAACAATCCTGAATTCAAATACAATGGAAAAATGTTTTTGTTATGCAGCATGTGATAATCTTGTGTTTTATAGAAAACAACAGCCTTAGCCAAATATGATCCCCTACAGGACTAAATTATTAAAATAAAAATGAAGGTCATAAAAATGAATCTTATAGTTTTTTGCGAGAGTGTGCTCTGAATGAGGTAAAATAACCTCATGCTAAATAATGAGGTTTTATTATGAGACTCTTTTGTTTTAGGTTGGACAAAACTAAGTTTAAAAAAAAAAAACTTGCACGTGTCCAACTCAAAATGAATCGAGTTGAAAAAAGACCACCAAACAAAAGAACGTAATTCATCAAGACCAAGCAAACATGTTTGTCATCTCAGTTAGTTTACACACACTTTTCACACTCCGCATGGTGGGCGGCATTCACATGATGTCATCTGTCAGAATCATTGGCGATCATATTTTCATCACATTTACAAGAGGGTTTTGATTTCGCAGAAACAACACAGCCCGAACGAGCACGACGGACATAACGGCTATAAAATTTTAAACAACTTGGCGTCCACCTCACAAAGTCAAGTGCTGGTTATAAAGCTACCTGGAGAAGGCTGAATGCCATGTAACATTACACGCCTTACGGTCTGAACTTGTTGAGCTTAAATAGGCTTTTCATGGCACGCTATAGCACATTGATTATAACAAGTCATCTCAGTGATTGCATACACTCTTCAGCTGGCGTCTGGATGACCGTAAAATCTGAGTTTATTAAGCTAAGCCAACATTGTTGTAGAATGTTTGCTGAGATCACAGAAGGTTGATTAAAACAATTGAAAAGAAGAATGAGCTAAAACTAATAAAGTTGCTTAATGAGCCATGGGAGTGGGCAGTCATTGCAATTTTTTTTAATGTTTTTATTTTTTTTTAAGGAAAACTGTGAGGGAACTTGGGAAGTTTTCATAATAGAGATCAACCAAAATAGCTTGTTTATGACCTGGAACTAGGGGTGTAACAATATATATATCGTGCCACAATATATCGCAATAAAAAAATGCAACAATACGTATCGTGGATATACTGACAATAGGTATCGTGGGTAGTCCCCCCAAAATAAATATTACTGTATGAGAAAAAAACTACATTAAACATTAGTACTACATAATTTAAACTAGTATACATAATGTTGATAATGCCAAATGTTGGATATTACCAGTAAAAATTGACCGACATTATTTTAAATATATCTCAGTGAAAACGTGCAAGCATATTCGTCTACAATAGCTTCAGAATCATTCATATTGTTATTCTGGTGTCACCATTGTCTTTGGGTTACAACTTACAAGCACCGAGTCGAAGCCTATTCATTTAAACCCACAATGTAATATCAAATATAGCATTTCAATCAACATTACATTTTTTGTAAATCTTTTACTATGTCTTTGAATATCGCAATAATATCGTATCGTGAGTTCAGTATCGTGATATGTATCGAATCGTGACATGAGGATATCGTTACACCCCTACCTGGAACGCATTTTTAATTGTTTTATATTTGCTTTTGCCACAATAATATCTTAATTATCAGTATACTTCTAACAATAAATCTACAACACATTGCACATATTAAATCATTCCTCTTTTTTCTTAATAATAATAGTAGTAACAACAACATAAAAATAATAAAATAAAACATTGTTTAAGCTGATAACTTTGATATTTAATCTCACCATCAAAGTGATAGAGAAATAAATAATGCTTAACATCAGCTGTTAAAAGATGTTAAAGGTACCAATATATCCCTGTGTGACAACTAGAATTTGTATAAAAGACTGTATAGCAAAAAGAAGCTAAGCTTTTTAAGTCGCTATACTGGAGGAAGCAAAAACCTGATTCATTTGCAAAGTTCCTTAACAATGCCCTGGGGGACATATGACACATAATCTACAAATGACGCATAAACATGATTTAGTTGCAGATATCCCTTTAAGTAAAAGAACATCAGGTTAAACCAATGGATCATTTTTCAAATGCATCTGCTTGTGGAAAATAAGCACAACGAAGCCTTCCTGGAGATTTAATGAATCCAGGGAACTATATATTTGATGATGATGATGGCATCCTCTACCTTCTCCCAAAATTGCTGGAACTAATTTTGCCCTCACATCTGCCACAAATCTGTTAAACATGTTTTGGGAATGGGTGAGTGATGAAAATGGGTGAGGTGCTGCATGCAAGAATCACTGTTCAGTGTTTACATGTGAATTCAGCCCTCGTGTTTGGAAAAACAGCAGTAGCGTAAATTAAATATAGGCGGGGTGTCAAAATAGTTCATTGCTGAAGTACCTGCACCTGCTCTAATGTCCATTAAAGTTTTAAACAACAGCGGCTCCCAGAGGGAAACATTGGACATTAAAAAAAATAAAGGTAAAACAGCATACTAACTGCTGCTACATGAAAGAGGCATGTTTTTATCGAGGCGGTTGATATGTGAGAAAGTGTATATTTCCTTCATTTATTCCGAGCTCACATTTTAAATTTAGAAATTGTTTTAATACAAAAGTTATACTTTTAATGAATTTACCATCTAAACATGGCAACATTGGTGGTCAGTCAGACACCTTATCATACGCTAACTTATTCTCGACAGAATAAGTTAGCTACTACGTTAAACACACGAACAATATAGCCTACTCTATGAGCTGACGTACACAATACTGTAACGTAATTTAAATGTTGACGACTTACCTGTCAGAAACATCCCCGAACCGCTCTCCATGTCTGGTGTATCAGTTGGACCGGTGTCCTGGATAGTGGCTTTAACAAAACTAAATAAAACAGCTGTCCACACCACAGGCGCGAGCATCATGTTTAACGCTACGATACCTGATTTAGAAAGCCACGAGACAAGCAGTGTAATTATTCATCGCATTTTACATAGTTTAGATGTAAATTAAATGTGTCTGAGGCCGATAATACTGGAGTGGTAAGTGTCTGCCGTTGAAGTTTGGTCACTTTTACCAATAATACCAACGCGCCTCAGCGTCACTGTGAACACCTTGCGCACTTCTCGCGCTTGCCGCCCGCCAGACACCTATGGACAGAGTATTTACTCAAGGGGCTCCGCCCACACTCACACCACTGGCCAATGAGAAGCGGCATCCCAACATTCATTAACATCTCAGGACAAGAGAATGGCAGAGGCGTACTGTGCTCATTTCATATTATAATAATGTACAACATGAAATAAATTTATTAAATATTTTTTATATATATATATGAAGAGTTCAGATGCAAAAGCCTCTAAGTGCCATTTGAAATTTTCTTCTAAAATGGTCATTTTTATCAAGCTTGTATATTTAAGTTCAGTAATTTCACTTAAATGGCAATGAAGATTACCCATTAATTGTCATTTAAGTGAAATTACTGAACTTAAATATACAAGCTTGATAAAAATGGTCATTTTAGAAGAAAATTTCAAATGGCATTTAGAGGCTTTTGCATCTGAACTCTTCATATATATATATATATTATATATATTATTATATATATATATTATATATAATATATATATATATATATATATATATATATATATATATAATATTATATATATATATATATATATATTATATATATTTATATATATATATTATTATATATATATTATTATATATATTCATACTCAAGTACATTTGACATTTGCATTTCATAGGTTCAGCTTTTTCCATGACACAAACATCTCATTACCAAATTAAAATTGATTAGAAAAGATTAAAGAAAGGCATTTTTCCCCCAAGATTTATTTCCATATATCTCTCAGTTCAGTGGTGGTTTTTTTCATACAAAATGTAAATGCTAGAAATGATAAGATTGATAAAAGAGTCAATGAGAAGAAATAGATGGCATCATAGATCAATCATCAGATCACAGGAGTGAGGCAGTCTCTCTGTGCATCGCTCCACTGTTCAACAACCTTTTTTATAAACAAACTGAAGTGAAGGGACTTTTAATTTTCTCCCAGAAATCCAGGGGTAAGTGTATCAAAGATTGTTTCTAAAAAAAAAAAATAAAAAAAAAACCTGCAGCCATTTACCTCATAGAAAACCATGAATGAAGATATACAATTTCCTACATGCACATATGTCATCATAACATGCAAACATGACATCATCCAAAGAGGTTAGCCACAGGTTAGTTGGACAGAGTAGCCTATACAGCACACAGAGACAAACTAGTGCTGTAATAAATTTGGCACCTGGTTTATATATATATATATATATTCCTTCTTTAAAAAAAAAAAAAAGGTGATTTCTAAATTAAGGGGAAATCTTAATGGAAATCTACTGGTTAATTGGGTAAATCACAACACTCCACATCTCATCCCAAAACAAGGAAATGGTGGCCAAAGGCAGTTCACTAGGATATCACATACTGTAAAAAAAAAATTAAAGAAATCAAATGTCTTAACATTAACCACCTTTTAAGTGACATGTTACGTAAAACTACATTGGTTTACTTCCTAGTGCAACCAAATACCACCATTATATTATTTCATATTCTTTCAGAGGGCAGATCAACATCAAGCATAATCAGCAATGCATTTTTAGGTGAGCTACACATCCTGTATATCAAGATCTCTGTGAAGCGGTGAATTGGTCCCACTGGTGCTAAAGCTTAGAGTGTGTTGAGTGCAGGTAAAGCTACAGGATGAGGAGCAGTCCTAAAGTGTCATTTTGTTGCATAGCCCTACTGTACTGTACTTCAACAGTCAACATTTCCCTGCACTTGCGGAATAGAGCGCAACAGTTATGTTCCACAGGTAAAGATTCCATTCATTTTCTCCATAGAGAAATCGATACTTTAACAATTGTCCAAACCTTTCAAATCACCATATTATGAATGTTGAGATTCTTAATGGGTGGTTGGTGCATAATGTACAGTAGCCTATACAAGGATGTTTAATAAATTCCCTGTGAAGAAGAACTACTGTGCACCACTCGCCAATCAAGAAATTCGCATCAAAATATGTTTTCATTTATTGTTTCCAGTAGGATACTTCTTTTTTAAATCAATATAGAAATATTTCAATTTACATTTCCAAAAACTTTATAGACCTTATGCACCAGAGAAACAAGCTTGCAGCCATCTTTAGAATTTTGTGTTTGAACATTCATTTTTGCAGTGCCTCTGTATCTTTCTATGGCATTGCTGTCGCATCAGAGTAATTAGCTAGTGAAGTGGATTTACTTATTGTAATTAATGAAAGTTATCATGAGCATTGTAATGTTTGAAGATGTTATAACAAAGGTCAGCAGACCGGGGACATTTTAAAAATCATAAATCCGTTCATTCATAAATACGTAAGATCTTAACTTCATGCTGTGGAAATACAAACCGAAAGACAAAACACAATAAGTGCAACTCTGAAAAGGGGCGGGGCTTTCGTAAGGAGTACATTCCTTCATTGCATTTTACCTTTTGCCCAATTTTCATTCACTATTTTCTTTTAAATAGTTTTTTTGCTTGGAATTCGTGTGGAGACAATAATACAACATTTCCAGAACCAAAACAGCTGAAAAAGTGGACAGCAACTGTTGCGCTCTATTGCAGACTCACCCAAAAAAAAAAAAAAAAAAAAAAAAAAAACATTCTAATAAACCCCTTACATAGAAAAGACACGTTTGGAAACAACAAACCGAAAACATGGGCAGGATCAGAGTAAAATTTACCTTATCTGAATAAATTAACCTCGATTTATTAACTATCATCAAAAAACATTACAATATCTCACTTAAAGAGAGAATACAACATACTCTTTATATCAAATAGGTTGCACTGAAGCATTTTGCGTGGTGATTAATAGATACAAGTGGAAGTCAATAAAGTACTTCAATTCCCTCACCTTCCTCCGCTATAATTAAATCCTGGAGAGAAAGGTGTGAGCTCACAATACACCCTCTGGAAACAACACTAACACCAACAGCAACCAACAAATACAACCTTCTATCATTCTTTCAGCATTTTCATATATCATCTATTTTCCCCTGAATTGTTTTAATAATACACTCTGAAAAGACCAACGTCATCAACACCCACCTAAACTATCTTTATACTGCTACAGTCTTTGTTTTGTGCAATATCTTTCGTCAAATACACGCTAAAGTACATTTAAGAAACAAATATCCGTGACATTTAACCTACAGCATACAGCATCTGTTCACTGCCTCTTTCAGGCCAAAATACTTTGTGATGCATTGCACACCAATGTGGCAATAAAATCGTAAAATTTAGGCACTTGGTATCTTACCTCTCAAGAGTAAGAAAAGGATTAGACCTTATGTAATGTCCAGCTACACTCGGATCATTTACAAGGTACAAAATGGAACACTGTGAAAAGATATTCAATCTACTTCAGTCTGATAGAAAAGTGAGTTCAATTTGGCCTTTTTTCGATGGTGGGAGCTAACCGTCTATGCCACTCACGCTAGATAAGGATGTAGAATTACAGCAGCAAGAACCTTAAGGCTGTGTGTCCACCAAAGAGCGCTTTTCTGAAAATGCCCAGTTGTGGGTGCTTGAGGACGCTTTTCGGAGGTGCAGTGTTTAGCTGTTTGTCTGGTAGACCCATTGTGAAAAATAAAAGTCCTTCAAGCATTAGTTTTTATATTAATAATGTGGTAGTCCAGGGATGTCGCTGTTATCTATGGTCATGGAAACTCTGAGACCATTGTTGATCATTAGTTGTATAAGCAAATTGTGACAGTTAGTCGTGTGGTATTTGTCCCACCTCTCCTCCACTGCGATTAGATGACTGGGCAAGAAGTGATTGTTTAGCTCTGCGTTTTATCCAAAGTTGAACATCAACATCAAGCGTGCAACACTCAGTGTGGAATAAAGCTTCCCATTGCGAACACTGAACAAAAATGCAAAACGTTTTGGTGGACACAGAGCCAACACCCCTAGAAATAACTTATTTAGTCATTGCGTCTAAACAACCAACAAACCACAACAACTAAACTAAATCTCACTTTTTCCACAAGAGTGTTTCCATCATAGCTTGTATTTTCGGGCATCTTCCTCTCTGAGGTCTGAGGTTTGGATCACAGGCACAGCTGATGTGACCATCTCCCTTGTGACCCTTCTGGAATCAGCCTTAATTAAATTAAAAGCAGTGGGGAGTGTCACTTGAGGCTTAACTGTTCTGTTTGAAACCTATCAAGACCTCCAAACGCTTTCCATCTTGCCGCTACTTTCGTAAACAGAGACAAGGATGTCTGCTTCTTTCTAAACAAGAGAAGTACACCTTAAAAAAAAAACCTTATGTGCTCAATCTGATGGTAAACGGGCAGAAAACGGTGTAAACTGTGGACATAACTCTTGTTTCCCTTCAAAAATAGGCTCCTCTTCTCACGATAAAACGCATGCTAGATTGAATCATGCTAACACCAGTCATCTCTCTCGATCTCCTGGTAGCTTCCAGATGCTCTGCCGCTCGAACCGGGTGTCGAGTTCATTCCGAGGGAGTAGTGATAGCCGTTGGGGACTCCGCTCTGGCTGCGCGACAGCAGTGTGGAAGTGGGGGTCGCACCTGACGACGTGTGGGTGACGGAGAGTGCAGTCCTGGGGGAGCGGCCCGCACCGTACGTGCTCAAGGCATCGTGGAAGTCGTCCGCTTCAGACAAGTTCGAGTCTTGCTGGAGGGGACCTAAGTTGGGGTCAGAGCTTATCCGAGTGACAGGCACGGGAGATTGGCGGTGGGCGTTACCACTGAGTAGGGCATCATGCTCTGACAGGCCACGACTAAGGCGAGTGGGGCAGGGCCCTGTAGACTGGGCAGTGTTGAGCTGGACCGGGGAGGAGTTGGCAGTCTTGTAGGCAACAGCAGGCCGAGGAGTAAGGGGCGTCTGAGGGAGCTGTCTACGCCCACGGCAGGGAGTGCTGGTGCCTGAGGTATGAGTGACTGAATTTCCTTTAGTTGTGGTAATTCCCTGAAACACAACAGAGAGAAGCGAAAGAGTGAGCCCCTCTCAAAACAGCACGTGTAGAAGCTAGAGTGACCGAGAGAAACCACCTGACCTGTTTAAGCCTGTTTGGGTCATGTGGTTCTCCTGGCGACGTGGACCGGCTGGGTCCGGCGGACACGCTGTGGCCGAGCTCGTGGCTGGCGTAGCGGTCGCACGAGTAGTATCGTTGTTGTCTTTCTGCCGCTGAGGATGAATGATGCTTCCTCTCGTGGGAGCGGCCACGGTCACGCTCCCGCGCTCGTTCCCTAGGCAATGACTCGGTGTTCGGATCTGCTGATGTATAGAAAAACATCACATTTATTAACCAGCCATGGAAACGTACTGAATAAGGAAGTGTAAAATAATGGGCTATATGCACGCATAAGTTCCGCATTTGACGCAAGGATGCTCGTCAGTTTCCGGTTGGGGAGATTAAAGCGGAGGAAAACCGAGGAAAACGGGATTATGGCAGAGTCTTCAAAATTTACTGTCAAAAATAATCTTTGAAACAAAACTTTCATGCGTTTAGATGTAATTTTATATATAGTTATGTTTATTTAAAATAATTTTAAAAAGAAGCATAAACACAACGAGGGGTGTCTGTTTTGTCTGTTTTTGTGACTAACGTTTCTTAAGTATAACCATGGAGTATAAAATTCAATATAAATTCTCGGTATTGCATTGGACTCTACGATCGGCGGAAGTTATCGAGCATCCGGAAATACCGCCGTGCATAGAGCCCATTTGCACACAAAAAAAAAATTTTCTTTAAAAATTGTGTAATTTCAAATTAAATTAAATGATTGATTATTAATTTCTCATTTTCTCAGTTTATATTCTCCCCAAGTGTGCCAATAAATAAGTTTATCCATGAGCCGTAAACATCAGACACTGCCCAACACTAATCAAAACCACTCTGAATTCAAAACACCACAAGGAATTTACATTTCCCCACAAAGGGTGTGTGTGTGTGTCCGTCCATGTTTTTCTATAGCGGTAGGGACTTCAACTTCAACCTAAGTGCACACTATGGGGAACTAAATTGAGGTCCCCATGAGGAAACAAGCTTAGAAATCACACATTTCTGTGATGGGTTGGTTTAGGGGTAGGTTTAGTGTAAGGGGATAGATAGAATACACAGTTTGGACAGGTTAAAAACCATTACATCTATGAAGAGTCCTCACAAGATACAGTGGTAAACCAGATGTGTGTGTGTCTGTGCCTGTGTGAGCCCTGCTGTTTGGTGCTGTTGTAATCTTTGACTATAGAGGAACAAAAACATGTAGAGGAAGATGTATGTGGGTGTCTGTATGTGTTTGAAATCTGAGTACAAGTAAAATGAGCTTTCTGTGGAATGATGTATTGCCCTGTTTCAACTCAGTCATAGTTGACTTATCTATTAAGAGCAGAGTCAGACTCCAGCTGAGAAACATGTTTACATTCCAGTGTTTCTAAGAACAGAATAAGAAGAGCAGAGTAGGAGTCTTGTACTTGTAGTAAAGAAATAAGATGTGCTTAATTTTGTCATCCTGAGATTGCTCTTCTCTTGAGGAACTAAAAGCTGCTTTCTCTCGATGACCGACTTTCCCAGTCATGCCACAAACTGAGAAACAAAAAACTGAGAAACTGTTTTGAGAAACAAAACAGAAAAAAAAAAAAAAAAAAAAATCAAAAGCACATTTCTACAGTAGCAATGGTTTGTGAGAGCCTCACTCTAAGTCACATAGAGAAGTTGACAAAGTAAATCCCAGACCAAAGCACTTTGGAGAGCAATAAAGAGTCTTTTCCTCGATAACCTGATCACTATAATCCTTAAAAGAATTTACATTACTGTGCTAAGCAAAAGAAGCTGGGATTTTCAACTAGTACTCAATTTTTCTTCATAATCTTTAAAGATTTTACAGATCTCTATATTGTAAATGTAAAATCCTATTTAAAAAAGAACATATAAAACTGCTAGCATGGCATTAAAACATTTATGTATATATACATATATACATATATATATATATATATATATACATATATATACATATATATATATATATATATATATATATATACATAAATACATACACATATACACACACACACACACACACACACACACATATATATATATATATACTGCTCAAAAAAATAAAGGGAACACTAACATGCTATAAACATAATAATCACCGCAATTATGATCCAGTCATAAACTCATGGCCTTTTTAAATCCAAACAGTCACTTTTTGGAGAATATATAGCCTTCGAGTCAAAAAGGTCAAGATCCACTGTTCTAGGTGAGGGTCATATTTATGTATATAGTCTCTATATTTTTGTGCTATATGATATTCCCTATTTTCTTTCACATGGATATACCAAAGAGCACAAAATAATGAGTAGAAAATGAAGCCCACCTGTAGGCGGTGGCTGCTCCTCGCTAATGGCTCGATCCAGTGATTTGTGCTTCTTGTCTTTGCGCCGTTGGCAGCGGTGATGATGATGGTGATGATGATGATGGGCTCGCTCCCTCTCTCTCTCCTGAGTGAGGGTCTGGCTTGTGACCATCTGTGGCCTCTCCAGGTCATATTCACTCAGACTGACCTCTCGCACCCCTCTCTGAGGAGTCAACGAGGACGTGGACCTCCGCATGGGACTCACGTCTGCGATAGGCTGTGTAGCAGAAATAAAGCGAGTTAACGTGAATAATGAAGAGAGGAGATAAAGGAGAGAACACATATCTAGCACGGTACTAGAATGACAAGAGTTTCAGACCACTAGACCTGTCACAACAGACGCACAACACCAGCTGAGCATGAAAACACACTTCCACTAAAGAGCCCGCTCCTGCGGACCCACGCACGCATCGGAGAGCAGTGGAACACCGCCACGGTCGATGCAAACACTCGGCTGTTTGAATGCTGTCATCGAGTCGTCTCTTATACACACGGACTGGAATAGTTGCTGCGTGAACTATCCACAGCCAGGTGGTGCTATCCAAGTAGTGGTCACTGATCAATGAAGAGTCACTGGCACTTTTCTTGGATAACTGGTGCAGTCAACCTCCACATAATACAGTGTATATGTGTATTTACAGTCTCGAAAAGTGTAAATTAAATGTAAAATTGGCCAGACTTCAGGCCAAACTCTTTGAAGAATCCATGACCACTGCTTGTGCTTGATGACTGGAATTTCTACTTGTTTAGTAGTGAGTCTACAAACACTCAAACTCCAAGAAGCAGTGCACCTCTCTCCACATAGCTTGAAACAGCTTGAAAATACATAAATAATTGGTTTGAATTATAGCTAGCATAAACTTTTATGAATAAAAACCACAGAATATGTAAGTTTAAGGTTTTCACTGTAAAATCATTTAGTCCCTTCCAATCCAACGACCGTTCAAAAGCTTGAGGTCAGTATTATACACATGTATATAAATTATTATTATTTTTTTTTTAAAGAAATTAATACTATTATTTTGCAGGGACAAATTGAATTGATTAAAAGTGAGACTAAAGACAATAATATTACAAAAGATTTCTATTCTATTTCATTCAACTATCTATTCATCACAGAATAGCCAACAGAATTTCCACAAAAAAAAGTAACGTTGATAATAATTAAAAATATTTCTTGAGCACCAATCAGCATATTAGAATGATTTTCTGAAGGATCATGTGACACAGATTCTAAAGCCTGCTGAAAATTCAGTTTTGCAATTACAGGAATAAATTAAATTTTTAAACATATTAAAATGAAAAAAAAAAAATTGAATTGTAATAATCCAAAATATTACTTATTATTTTCGATTATTAATCAAATAAATGCAGCCTTAGTGAGCTGAGGGTTCTTTCAAAAACATAAAAAAGTCTTACCGACCTCAACCTTCTGAACAGTGTATGCGATTTACACGGCTGAAAGATATGTGAAGAGATGTCTGCACTAATACAAAATAAGAATGATACACAACCCACTACATGAAACACACACATACAGTTAGCACCTCACAACATCCAAGATAAAATAAGCACTGCATTTTATTCTTTCCTCTTCATATTGCTGTAACAAAACGAATCTAATCCATTACTTGTAAATTAGTTGCCCATGGTGATTAACTACTATCTAGTGCATGCTAGTTTTGCGTTTACCTCACCAGGCTAATATGAAGTGTGCCTGTACAGGTTTATTGGCTTGCTAATAGAGTGTAGACTCTAAAAGAGCTGGAATGGACAAAGCACACACAAGCCAACATAGAAATGGAGTGGCTGGCAGAGAGAGAGAGAGAAAGAGAGAGAGAGAGAGAGCGATTGCAGGTGGAACACTTGTACATACTGCTAGATACGTTCCGGCGGTGTGGCGTAAGTGGCTCCGCTGTTGGACGGGAAGAGGAAGAGGACACATAGGTGAGGTGAGCAGGGTACACAGCTGTGGCACTCATGGACACAGCAACAGAGTGAGACAGGAGGAAAGAAATCAGAAAGAGATGGACAGAGTAAAGAAGACTGGATGATGTTTATGAAAAGTTTAGATGTCAAGGTCCAGTATGGTCAGAAAATAGGTGCCTAAAAAGTAGGGATGGTGGAGAGAAAGAAGAGATAGACAAGACAGGACAAGACAAGACAGGACAAGACTGAAGACAAGACATTATTACAAGGATGCTTGACACTGTTTGAGTTCTTTAGCGATGTGGCAAATATAATGTAACATAACAAAAAAACATGTATGTACACAAATAAATTACAGTTAAAAAGCAACCTAAAATAATTACACTACAGTAGTTAATGAGGGGAACAAATTATATGAAACATGTAAAACAATATTACACATGTTAACTAAAATGATTAAATTGTTTTCATTAATTGGAATAAAACTGCATACAATACATTATAAATATTAAATGAAAAACTTCAATTAGAAATTATGCCTTGGCAACTAACATAGAATAAGTTGAAGCTGAAGTACTAAAAAATACTAAAATCAAGTCAAATTAAAAATATAAACATATTAAAAATGTATATTTCAAATTTGAAATATTAATAAATACTACAATACTAAAATAAGAATCCTACAAACCTGTATGATAAATATATTTTAAAGGAGTAGTTCGCTTTTTAAAAAAAAAAAAAAACTTTTGCTGATAATTTACTCACCCCCATGTCATCCAAGATGTCCACGTCTTTCTTTCTTCAGTCGAAAAGAAATTAAGGTTTTTGATGAAAACATTCCAGGATTTTCTCCATATAATGGACTTCAATGGGCACCAAACAGTTCAAGGTCCAAATGAGAGTTTCAGTGCAGTTGAATGCAGTGCCCTTACGATGAATAAGGGTCTTATCTAGCAAAAACGATCGGTCATTTCAAAAATAAATAAAAAAGTTTTATAAGCACAAATGCTCGCCTTGCTCTGTTCTGTGATGAGCGTTCGTGACTCTCCTGTTCAAACTCGTTCATCAAAATGAACAAATCTTTTTTCGAGTCATGACTCGAAGGGTCCTTTCGTTTAAAGCCCTTTGAAGCTTCACTGAAACTCTCATTTGGACCTTGAACCGTTTGGTTCTCAATGAAGTCCATTATATGGAGAAAATCCTGGAATGTTTTCATCAAAAACCTTAATTTCTTTTCGACTGAAGAAAGAAAGACGTGGACATCTTGGATGACATGGGGGTCAGTAAATTATCAGCAAAGGTTTTTTTTAAAAGTGAACTACTCCTTTAAATAAATTCAAAGATTAAAATACAAGATAACAATCTAAATATTCCAATATACTGTAGTTTGGTTTATAAATATACAGTATGTAGATTTGGCATTGTCCCTCTTCCTCTCCTTTACTCTCTCTCTCTCTCTCTCTCTCTCTCTCTCACACACACACACACACACACACACACACACACACTGAACACATTGAACTAAACTGAACTGAATATAATACATATCTCTCAGTGGAGAGTTGTGTATAAATTAACATCTTTTGACTTCCACCAATTAATTTACTTGAATTTTCACCTCCTCACACCCTCCTCATTACCTCCATTCATCCATTCTTTCATACAGCTGCCCATTCACTCCTCTTTCCTCCATCTTCCTGCAGTCATCATCCAGCTGCCTCTTTCTTTGCAGGAATTAATTTGGTGAGAATAACAAACAAAGGCTGTACGGCAGTGATGTTCAACTCCCAACTCCCACCAGAATGACCTCATATGGCCACTACAGATACTACAGATATTCACCTGAAAGCCAGCGTTGAGTCTGGGCATGGAGGCAGCTCTGCCGTGACCCTCAAGCACAGGATACCCGCCCACATCAGAGTCGTTCTCCAAGTCACTCATCTCAACTAATTCCTGCAACATATGTAGAGCCAAATTAAAAACAAATGCATTAATAAAAAACCAAGGTGAAAAAGAAGTACACTTTAGTATACACATAAAAAGTGGTACATATTATTTAAATAATATACATAAGTGCATATTTTAAGTCTATATTTTAATTTTACATTAAATATAATTTAACTTTAGAGTGCTTTGACCCACTTAAGTAGGGCTTTAATACATCTTTATATCTAATTTCAGAATTACTTCCATTGTCTTTGAAATATGGTTAGTGGACTGATACTGACAAGCATTTATGGAACCTGATTTTATGCCTTGTATTTAAATATATTTATAAACACACCTTTGTAATGGTGAAGTTTTTAGTGCAACTTAGTATATTTCAAATATATTAGCTTTTAATGTAACATTGACAACAGTTACATTTATAATCAGATACTTTAAATGTGCTTTAGTATGTTCTCAGCACCAAAAGTGTTCTTCTTAAAAGCAGGGCAAAAGATTATTAAAACATATGGATTTAAAAGGTACTTTATGTTAAAACTTACTCTCTTTAAGAACACTTAAGTTGCCTTTTATTTCAGTTATATTATATTATCTGCAAGTACAGTTTTTTAAACATATACTATACTATAATATATAATAGATTAGAAGTACACTAAGTGAACATGCAATGCAATTAATCACAGTTCTTTTTAACAAAGGATTGGACTGTGAAAAGAAGTTACAGCAGTTACTAATGGTACAAATGGACATTCTGGTGGATGTCTGACACACGTAACTTAAATAGGACTGATTATTCTGCAATAAATCACCTGAGATCTGTATGAGTTTGGCACGTCTTCTGATTGGCCGCGTTGGAAAGGCCTTCTGTTTGCTTCCTGTGTGACTTCCTGAGGTATGCCCCCCAAAGGAATCTTGTTCATTCCACTGCTCTGGCTTTGGCTTTGTCTATGAAGCACAAAAAAACCTCAAAAATAGTAAACACAAAACACATTCCCAAAAGGAAAGTATAATGCTATGAAGACCAGAATGGTAGAACACTCACACGGCATCCCCATTAGTCAGGTGAAAGGATGTGGGCGGGGCCTCTGGCTGTGGTGTGGTATCTAGTTGAGAAGGGGTTGGGGATTTTGGCAGCATTGGCTCCTGATCGTGTAAGTGTGTGAGAGGAAGCATTGGTCTGAAGAGAACTCCGACTTTACTCTGAGGAGAAAATATACACAAAAATGAGTTTAATAAGGACCACATTAATCATTTATTAAGAACTCTTTGAGGAACTATGAATACTAATAATCAAATTAATAATAAAGTGTGGCTTTAATTTACATCTAACATATTTTTTCTAATATTAATAATAATTCTGCAGGTCACCATATGAATTCTACAGGATTTCTCGGAGACAAGGGTGTCACGTTCTTTAAGGTTCTGACACGCCAACCCCCTCATGGAAGATTAAAGTAAATAAGTCCAAGAGTTTAATACGAGAGTCTGTTATTACAGGGACATCGACGTTACATTTTCACTACCCTAAACATGACGTTGAACAAAATGAACTGTGATTGGTTGCTTTAAATGTCCTTGGCCAATGAAAGCTGCTATGGAGTCCAGGACCTTCTGCCGTCAGGTTACGCAAGACTAATACTGTAGTAGTATATTCAGTTGTTTGTAGATCCTACATGAAGATGCTCTACCTGTGTGCCTGGTGCAGCCTGCTGCTGTTGGAGTCTCTTGGCTCGGTTCTGCTTATAGTAGTCGAAAATCATCAGGGCCGCATAGACCTTCCCAACAGTCAATTCATTATCTAAGACAGAGTGAAATTGACATGAGGTATCAAATGGACTGAAGTATAGGGGGAAAACTGATGTCCACTAGGTGGCACCAAAAGCTCAGAAATCACTGGCAAAACTAGGCTGAATCACTCAGGCGGAAAATGGCATTACTGTTATTTCAAAATGAAAAATCTAACTCCCACAAGCATTTAATTAAGATCCCATATAAATGCTAATTCCTTTTTAAACAGAAATCGTCATTTTTCCTAAATGCAGGGCTTACGTTTGTGAGGTGTTACCAGCAAGTCCACTGTTTTTGAAGACAAGTTAGGCCAAATTTTATTTATTTCCTTCCTTAACTCTGCATCACAAAGTCTCTGAGCCAGAACTCCTGGAAAAACAACAAGAAAGCAAGTCTGAGAGATGCAATAATGTTCAAACAGAATCGTTCTTAACTTTTGTCAGGCTGTCAATGGGTGTTATCTTATTTATTTTATCATATTTTGCACCAAATAAAAGGCTGAATAGAAGTCAAAGTCAGAAGGGAAAGCATCATTTAATTAATTTGTAATATTTTTAAAGATGGTGGTGTTAAATTAAATTAGGCTGATGAAAATCCTGGTGGAGTAGTTGGACACTTTGAAAGAGTTTTGAAATTGTAGTGGCCTGCCGGACACTCACCTGATGCCAGTTTAATCTCCAAGGCGGTTCGGATGAGAGCCATTAAAGTGGATGTAAAGTGAACCGTGTTGTCTTCAGCTATGGGCATGTTCATCCTCACCAACCGCTGTGGAGTCCAAACAGTGTGTGTGATTAATATTACACATGACTGGGGGATACAGAAATAACACACGCCAGGAGGAGTTTGCATGCTGAGGGAGAGTAACGAGTCAGGGAATGTAATTTCTCCTTCGTCAATTGTCATTTTCGAAACGCTCATCTCAGCACACAAATTGTCTCATCAGGACATTAAAATGATGAGAGGAAGAAGAGAGTGTATATATTTCATGCAGGTGCTGTGGAGAGAATGATGATGTTGGAGATGGAAGATGTTTTGCTGCATTTCTCCAGGTAGCAGAGAGTAAAGCTGTTTCACTTTGGAGGTTTAAAGGTGTCTCAGTAAGTGTGGTTACATGCTCGACCAATACACTGATTATGTGTAATATCATAAAATCAGGTTTAAGCAAAAACTGGGCACATCGATTTTTTTTTTTTTTTTTCATTGCTCCATTTCCACTTTGCAACAGTATTTGGACTTAAAACCTGGAAGATTTTTGACACATTTTTGATAGTCATCAGCTTTTTGTTCATATAAACACACTGAAATCAATGTACTGTATATGTCAATGTATACTACAATAAGTAATTATATAGTATTCAATTTTTCACATGGAATACATATTTCACCCCAAATTAAAAGAAATACCCATCCAAATAAATACATTACTATATATAGATATTTGGCATATGATAATTAAGTCTTTTTAAAACAATTTTAAGACTCAATAACTCATCCTGCCAATACACAATATTCATATTAAAAATAGAATGTCAATATCATTTTTGTAATATATATTAGAGGAACGTGTTTGTGCGTGATTGTAATAAAAATAAAGACACAATGCACTTCAGCTTCTCCAATTATTATTTACTTTTTGTTTCCTTTAGATTTTGGGGTAAAACATGACTTGAATTTCATCCTGACAGAATTTGAAAAAAAAAAAAAAAAATCAAAACTACTTTAGTCCTTTGTGTCTCTGTGTTTGGGCAGCTTCGACTACTGTCCACGTTGAGAATGCATTTGTTAATGTGTAATGAAACACGAGGTGTTAATGGGCTGCTTTTCTTGTATTTTCAAAGAGTCAGAGTGGATGATGACCAGAGAAAAGATGCATGCTGACCAACCAAAACCAAGAGCCATGAACAGCACCCATCACGCAAACACATCACTCAAGCTGAAATCAGAGCAAACGCTTCACACATTTAACACACCCACTGGTATTTGAAAACAGAGGTGAAAAGAAAACAGATGCGTAAGAGCGTAAAATCATGCACAGGGACAACACTCAATATTAAAGAGCGTAGGCCAGTGAAGACGTTTCCACAACAACTACCAATAAATACGGAGGAAAGGACGCTCCACTGAGCGCACATCTACAGCAAGCTTTCGCTCTTTCCTCCCTGTTGATTCAGTGCTCTGATGGGAGGGGGGTTGTTCTATTTAGAGCTCGCTGGAGAACGTCTCAGCATCACGCAGACTGTGTGGCCTCAGAGAGTAGCTCAGCAGACAGCCACGGACGCGTCTCTTGAACGTTACCCATTCAGACAGCTGGAACAGGGTGTGTAAACCTATTGACTCGGAGGCAGCTCTCAAAGTGGCAGAACGGCCTGCGACCAAAACAGGCAGCCCTGTACCAGAGACGTTTTGATTTTCAGATTTTCTCACCCCCCCCCCCCCCAATTTTAGTTGCAGATGCCTAAAGACATTCAGTTTACTGTGTATTTATTCTACTGTCTACATTTGTTCTGTTTTAAAATCTATTAAGCTGCCTATCAGGACAGCATTTTGAGGGAAACGCTGCCTACCGGTATTCTGCCTTCTAAGAAACGTTACAACCTTAGTGAGTATCAGACTTCTTTCACAAGGCTTTGGGATATAACTATTTGAGTTTTCCACGTACAGACGACACCGTTGTCACACGGATCCGCGAAAACGACTAAAAACCCTGTATTCTGCTTCCAGGCCATTAGATGGCGATGAAACACTATAGACTGAACACGTTATACGCATGTGCATGACATCATTTTTGCTGTTTACACAGAGACCGTTTTCAAAAACTTGCACTTTGAAAACCGTTTTCAAAAGTTTGCGTTTTCAGGCCGCGAAAATGCTTTTTTCCATCAAAATGCATAAAAAGTTTTACGTTTTTAGTTGAAAACGGTGTCGTGTAAACGGCCCGTAAATCTAGAAATTTGAGAACATCAGTAAGATCAAAAGACACAAAAAAGCACGACACGAAACACACACGAGAAAACACTTCCACAATTCGAACACTGACTGACAGCCACATCAGCCAATGAGAGGACAGAGAAGGAGCCAAGGAAAGCTCAGGGGGGCGGGATCTACCTTGTAGGCGATTCGTGGAGGACATTTCTTTCCCAAACCTAGCGGAGGGGACATGTGGCGAAGCATCTCGTACATATCGAGGTAGGGCATGCGTCCACTTCACAGGGGCGACACCCAGAGTTCAAAGGTCACACAGACGAGAAAAGGAGAGGGAAGGGGTAGTGGAGTACATGAAGGAAATGCGATGTGAATGAAAGAAAGAAAGAAAGGAACAAAAAAAGCATCGTTATTAAGGATTCTGAAGGAAGGTCGAGGGTATCCGATGCCATCCTGTCTCAGAAGGACGGATGGATCACGTAGCTACAGCTGCTTTTGTAGCTACAGGCTGTCGGTGATCCAGGGATGAAGAACATGGCATGATGGGTTTGGGCTTAGGGGCTTCAGTCTGGAGCTTCCGTCCTTGCATGCTAGGACGCAACCACGGATAACCAATCAGATGCTCAGGAAATAAAGCTAATATTTGACCTAATTTTAAGCACAGTATTAACCGAGCAAATAAAAGCTGCTCTAGTATATCAATATTTACAACAAGCCAGATAGAAATGTGCATTGTGAACATATGGGATTAGTTTGGGATGAGGGATTTAGCATTTGGCTTTGTTTCCTGGTTACCATGGTTACCGATATTCAAATTAGTAAGGGAAGAGGAGGGAGTATAATCCCTTCAGACATCAGGCATTTGTTTTTACAGCACCGCCCTCTAGAGGGAAGGTGTGTAGGTTTTCAAACCTTGTATGCCACCCTATTAGGGCACTTCTTTCCTAAGCCGAGGGGGGGTGAGATTATGCGCAACAAATTGTACATATCCATATAGCGTAGCCTTCCGCTGCAAAAAACAGATATGGATTAAAAAAAGACACATTTTAATACACTTTTTTCCATATTCCGTCAATACATGTATCCAAAGACGTCATGCTTATTGAGATAACTACGCTCAGCTCAGTTAGAATGGATTACACTGACAGAGAGGATAGGATTCAAATCCGTTCTGCTCAAGATAGACTAAAAAGTGGATGGCGTGTAAAGATTTGCATTCCTCAGCATAGACAAAGCTTGAGGATTTGATTTTAACCATGGTAGCACAGTAAAATGGGATTCATGTGACTTGGTTGGGGGCCATGAGTAAATCAGACACAGCGCCTGTGGCAGACCCTCTTAAGCCAGCATCTTTCAATCACTTAGTCTTTAGCTGTCACATTATTTTAAAGTGGCACTAACTGAGGTGTCACAGTGAAGGAGAGATACGCACCAGGCGGCAGGGTCGTACTCAGCCCAGACGCGGATGAACTCGTCGAGGTGATGAGGCCCGAGAATAGAAGCGTCACGTGTCAGGTACTCAAAGTTATCCATGATGACAGCGACAAACAGATTCAGCATCTGGTGGTTGTGGGATAGAGGAAGGATTATGAAAAATAGAAGGGGGAAATCAGAATTATGCAAAACAAGACAACAGATTTTGTTTTAATATTACAAGTGTTGGCTAGACTTAATGGAAGTTTGCACTGATTTTTATGTTTTGAGTATTGTAAGTGTTTGTGCATACACATTACAGATCAAAAGGTCGGGATTGGTTCGATTTTTGTTTTTTAAAAGAAGTAATTTATGCTCACCAAGGGTGCTTATTTGTTTAAAAATAAGGTAATATTGTGAAATATTGTTACAAATACCTGATATTTTTGTTTTATTACACTTTAAAATGTTCATTTATTCCTGTGATGGCAAAACTGAATTTTCAGCAGCAATACAGAAATCCTTATAATATGCTGATTTGATGCTTAAAGAACATCTTTTCATAATTTCACAGTTGAAAACAGTGCTGCCTAATATTTTTATGGAATTTTCCATTTCTTGTCACTTTTGATCAATTTGACGCTTCTTTGCTGAGGAAATGTGTTACTTTATATTGACCCCATACTTTGGAACCACAGCATTGAATGAACAGACTAGTGGTTACATTATATTCGTTCGGGTCACATGACGTCACTGTAGCTGTGCGCCGCAATCTTTATGACCGACGGTCTCAGTAATGCCTACAATATGTTGTGCAGTTGGCTGCACAAACAGCCGAAAGAGGAACCTGAACTAGTATTTTATTATATACCAAAAGAAAAGAATAGAAGAAAGAAGTGGTTAGCTGTCATTCGAAGAGAAGAGCTGCGTCTCATCTTTCTGTGCGTACACACCCGACCCGAAGCGTGCAGCCATATTTTCCCTAAACAGCGTGCGAGTAATGAATTGAGCTCTGTTTTGTGTCTGAATGGACAACTACACACAACTTTATGTTTAAATGTCCGTTTTGGAGAGTAAAAATAAATTGGTTGTCTTTAGGAAAAAGGAAAACAAACAAGCATGCAAATGGAAATTATCGAGGAGGGCATAATGATCAAGCTCATTTTTTTTTTCATCGTGCGATTAAATGATTTATTGACTATTGCGACAGGGCTAATCCAGACTAATGACAGCTAGCCGTGACTAACAGCTGGTAAGCTACCAGCTATTAGCCACTTAACTAGCTAACAACGCTACCTAGTCAGAGCAAACAATCACCAAAATCATACATACAATCATACATATTTTTTTTTTAAAATCATGGAAGACAAATTGGGGCAAGTCTGGGGCAGACAATAATGGATAAAAGAAAACTGGGGGTAACAAATAAGAATCGGAGCCCAAAATAGAAATTTTCTCCAGGTATCTCTATTTCTCTCTCACTCTCTCTCTCTCTCTCTCTCTCTCTCTCTCTCTCTCTCTCTCTCTCTCTCTCTCTCTCTCTCTCTCTCTCTCTCATTAAAATGAGCACTTTGGGCCACCATACGGGGTGAGATCGGTCGTAAATATGACGGTGTTCGTAGGTGGCATCTATGAATATCCATTTTTGGCCACTTGTTAGACATCTGTATGGATTAGGATGTTATGTCCAAGTAAGATCATGGAAGACTGCTGAAAAGGATAGTTTAACCAAAAACAAAATGTCATTCCAAACTCATTACATTATATTCCAGTGGAACACTAAAGGAGAAGTTTAGCAAAATGTCTGAGCTGCTCGTTTTTATACACTGGAATTGGATGGGGGCCAGTGGTTGTCAAGCACAACTGAATTGGTCAACATTACATTTGCACTTTATTTCAAAGAAAAAGAAAATCATACAGGTTTGAAACAATAATGACAGAATTTTCATGTAGGTCTGTTTGAATGTGGGATGTGCTCCACTAACCAGAAAAGAACAAAGGAAGATGAAAGATACAAAGTAGAAGTAAGCGAAATCACTGCCACACTCTTTTCCACTGTAGCCAGACTCATCTTCACATGGCCTTTCACTCAAACACGCCAGCATGATGTCATGCCAACCTTCCCCTGTAGCACTCCTGTAACATACATGCACACAACATACATTTGGCTCCACTTGCACTACATTGCAAAAGCTGTGTAAGTTGATATTTTAAGAAGAATGAACAGAGATCAAACAATGGCTTTACCTGAACAACAACATGAGGGCCTGAAAAAAGGTTTGGAAGTTATTATGATGGTTGATGGCCGACTCTTCATTCAACTTGATGTTACCAAACACCTGACACGGAGAGAAAAGCACATCAGCATTGTAATTTTGGATGAGTTACAACGAAAAAACATAGCACAATGTGTGCACTTTCCTATTGGAGCTTCATGAAAATACCTGCAAGGAGTGTGTCAATAATTCAGACTGCCTGGAGGGTATGTTACAGTAAGCATCTGCAGTATTAACAAGACCACATACACATATTGCGCAAACTGTGACTCATGCTTGTGAAATGTATGACTTTATGTCAGACAGCAGACACGTAAATAAACACACTGACTCACTCAAATCTACAGAGTTGTAATGCAATGACAGACGGTCAAACAAATCACAATAATCTGTCATACGCATACATTAAGAAAGTACATCCAGTGACTAAGGTTGGATCATCTTTTAGGGGGACATATGCACAAAATTGTATAATAAATGTAATATATATATATATATATATATACACACATTTCTGCCATCAAGAATGTATATCAAACCCACAGATAAGAGTGTGCTTTCAATTATTTCTAAAATAACTGACTTGTCTGATACATTTTGTGCCAAGTTATGACCAAATGTCTTTTCATGACCATGTAAAGTCAGTAAACACTGTACATTTTTTCACAATATGCAGAAGTTACACAGGAGGAAATACGCTCACACACCTAGTGCAAAAATTGCAACTACGAATTGGCAACTAAAATAACACCTTTATGTTCAAGAATTAATGTACAAAACCTTCCTGTTTTAGTAATATTGTGAAATAATATTCCAATATAAAATTGCTGTTTCCATATATATATACAACCGACCAGCCAACACTGAGGGAAAACACAGGGCTTTAATGTACTGGGGCTAACGGGATAATTAACAAGTGATGGGAATTTCTAATTAAACAGACAGGGAAAAACTAACAGGACTAAACCAAAATCACAAAGAAAGGGGGAAACAAGATCACAAAACTAAACTGAACACATCAAAACCGTGACACATACTGTCTTTACTCTCACTTTTTTTAATCAATTTATAACATACTTGAATAAAAGTATAGATTTATTTTTTAAAAAGTCATATTAATGGTAGTGTAAATGGATTACAAAAAAGATTTAGTTTAATTTAGCAAAAATATACGCTTCACATTTATGATTTAAAACACTCTGAAATATTTTCATTACAAGATAAAGACGGAATGAAGGATGTGAAATTGTCTGATCAAATCAACAGCATGTCACATGGAGTAAATAAAGCTAATAATAAAGATTATTATTCAAATCCTCCTATAAAAATACTAAAAAGGCAGCGAAAACTGGTTCAAAGGCACATTTTATGCTGAATGATGAAGTGAACACACAGTTGGATGTAGGAGTTCCAAGCGTACAGTTGATTACATGGCTTACTGATGATGTGATTTCACCAGTCTTACAGGATACAATTACCATTGATTTACAATGCGGTCCTAATCTACAAGATGGCAGGCGCTATCATTCCCAACACAATCTGGGAAATTGCCTGTGCGTCCTTAAAGCAACACTATGTAACATTTTTACCTTAAAATAATCTTTTCCAAATCTTATCAGTGGTTCATCAAGTCGTAACAGGGTAAAAGGCACTTTTGCCATAACCTGACGGGGTCTGTATCGCGTTTACTGGCACTGCGAAACTCCGGGGATCAGGTAGTAACCCGACCACAAAAAGAACTACTCAACTCAACTCAACTCAACTCAACTTTATTTATAGAGCACTTTCAAGACCACAAGTGGAACCAAAGTGCTGTACAAAATGAATAAAATAGAAAGTAAAATAAAGAAATTAAAAACAATACAAACACATGACATAAAAAAAAAACCTTACAAAGGATTATCAAATGCTAAAGAAAACAAATAAGTTTTAAGCGCACTCTGAAAAACACCCAAAGAAGGACAAGATTTCACAGACAGGGGAAGATCATTCCAGAGCCTAGGAGCCGCAACAGAGAAGGCCCGATCACCTTTACCTTTCAAACGGGACCGCGGAACCATGAGAAGCAATTGATCATTTGAGCGCAGAGATCTACTGGATTGACAGCGGCTAATTAAGTCAGTAACATATTCAGGTGATTGGCCATTCAGAGACTTAAAAACATACAACAATGCTTTGTATTGAACTCTGTATCTTATGGGTAACCAGTGTAATTTAATTAAAACCGGAGTAATGTGCTCTCTCTTCTTAGTACCTGTTAAAAGTCTGGCAGCTGAGTTCTGAACGAGTTGCAGACGGGAGAGAGAGGCCTGACTCACACCCAAATACAAAACATTACAGTAATCCAAACGGGATGACACAAAAGCATGAACAACCTTCTCCATATCATCAAAAGTAAGGATAGATTTCAATTTAGCAAATTGATCTAAGATGGAAAAAACTATTCTTAACGACAGCATTGATTTGCCGGTCAAATTTAAGCTCAGAGTCAAAAATGACACCAAGGTTCCTCACACTAGACAGCTTTTTCCCAGGAAACAACCCCAGGCAATCATCATCCACACACCCCTTATTTCCAAATAAAATCATCTCGGTCTTATCCTCATTTAATTGGAGAAAGTTATTCGCAAGCCAACACTTAACTTCGGCCAAACATGCATGGAAAGACTGAATGGCACATTTATGCCCATGTTTCAATGGTAAATAAATTTGAGAATCATCCGCATACAGATGATACTGAATCCCAAATTTCTCAAAAATCGAGCCTAGAGGGAGCATATAAAGGGAAAATAAAATAGGTCCCAGTATAGATCCCTGTGGAACCCCACACACAAGAGGGGCAACAGAAGAAAAATATTCCCCTAAACTGACTGAAAAGGTCCTATCCTTCAAATATGAAGAGAACCATTTCAGGGCTAAGCCTACAAAATTCGACTGCTTTACAGCAAGCACTACAATAGTCATTATTTTGTTTTTCTTCGTTTCTGCGGTCGCAATACATCATCCTTTCATGAAATCATGCAACATAATCTACCTTGCTTATTTATTTATTTTTATTTTACTTATTTATTTGACAGAGACAGTGTACGTTCATTAGCATTACTGCAAATGTACTAGAATTAGCCAAAAGGCTATTTTTCATCCATTGTCCCTGAACAGATGTTAATATTGTCTACCTTAAAAAAAAAAAAAAAACAGCAGTTAAAACTTTACAAGGAAAATACAAAATATAAAAACAATAAAACAATATTGTTTGTGGACATCGTTCATTCTGGATAAACAGCGAGCGTGCCTGCGACGGTAGGCTAAACTATTTACGAAAGCGGTAATGGACAATTTCGTTTCCAACCAGTAGGGCGACCCAAGAGGAAAAGTTCCATGGTGGTGCTTTAAATGAAGGTGCTATATGTAACTTTTCTTCTAAAATGAATCCTTTTTTATTGCATGTGTGTGAAGGGGTTGTTATCACACATTACAATGATCCACTTGTTGGGTTTTGCTATTACCTCTGAAGGCCAGTATTCCTATTTCTATGTGAAGTCTTCGGGTCGGATTTTCTGCAAAATCCATCGGATGTGACATGCATGCGTGCTCTGTCCTTTTTATATATGCAATGGCACTGCAGTTAACGACATGAAGTCTGATAACACAAAAAAACTCCTGCCTCCAGCACAACACAAACTCCACATAAATATAAATAATAACAAAACAAAAATGTATCTGCTGAAGCTCGTCAGGCCAAACGTGAATCAGATCGACTTAGGACGAAAACACGGATCAACATCGGCAGAGCCATATACATGGAATATTGTTGAATTCGCTGATAATCAGGAGACCAGATCGCAAACCAGAATTCAAAGCCAACAAAGCTTAAATTTATGGGGTCACACACAACTCTCTCATTCGTCATGAATCCAAATGTTTCCATGGCTGCGATGTATTATTTAATTGCTAACCTATTATTTCCTTTGTAAACAAAGCTTTGTGCTTCACTTGTGTCATAATATTCATGTAAAACAGCATTGACATACAAAAAATGTGTTTTGGTGGACCACCGCCTGTACTCAGCCACCACGGTGGCGCGTTACAACCGCAGTGGTGCAGATGTCAAGATTTACGGCACAGCCCTAATTAGAACAATGGCCTTTTTTTCATAAAGAAGCTTTCATATGGAAAAACACCACCTGCTCATGCAAAACACTTGATTAAACGTATCACTTTGCTTACCGGGTTCATTCTCAATAAACCCAAGATCAATACTCTGTTTATCACGTCGAAGCTGTTAAACGTGAAGCACGTTGAAGAAGCTGGTGATGAGATCCACTTGTGTAACTCAGATGGAAAGGTACTGTAGCATGGAGGGCAATGTTTATGAGAAAGCAACAGAGGCTTTTAAAGCTCTCTGGATCTCACCTGCATCCCGATGATGGCGTAAATGAAGAATAGCATTGCAATGAGGAGACACACATACGGCAGAGCCTGAGGACAAAATACAGTTGTTTTAGAGACAAACAGAAAGCTTACAGCAATATTAGACTGATTAACCTTCTGATGCATCTGATCTACTCAGGAAAAGATACTAATTTATTATAGTATGTTATTATATATGTCCATAAATGCATATTCTTTGAATGTTTAATAATAATATAAGAAATTATATATATATATATATATATATATAGTATATGTGAAATCTAAAATCTAAAAATAAAGCTTCAACATGGGAATTATTGTTTACAATTAATGTTGTTTAAATTGTCAGAGTAATGTCAAAGTTTAGTGTCTGACCTTAAATGACTGAACGAAGGTCCAGAGGAGGATGCGAATGGTGTAGCCCTGCCGGAGGAGTTTAATGAGACGAGCAGCTCGGAAGAGTCTCAGGAAACTCAGATTAATCCTCTTATCCTGGATACAAGAAAGAAAGAAAGAAAGAAAGATCAGAGCCGCATCACTGGTGCTGTATCTGAACCCGAGACGAGGACACATCCTCAGTCAGTCAGAGTGTCAGCATCTGTTATTGATAAGGTATTAAAACTAGTTAGTCTCATGCAGGACAATGTTGTTAGTCTGGTATGATGCATGAATAGTCTTGCATGAACATGCTTTCATCTATTAGGGATGGGCGATATGACCAACATCTTATATAACAGTAACAAAATAAATTTAACAATACTTCACAAATTAAATATATATTTCAGTATATTTTAAATTTTCAGTTTATTATTTGGAACTTTTTGGTTGCAAACCAACGGAAAATTATTCATAATGATTGACCAGAAACTTCACAGTATATATTGCCCATATACATGCCACCCATCCCTACTCTTTCAATGCTGAAAAAGGGGGTAAATATAGGGAACATTTGTTTGTCATTAGCTATGTTTCCATCCACCTCTGCAAATTTTACTTACAGTGTGCAAAAAATTGAAATTTAGCAAAAATATCTGCAAATAAAGCACCGTTCAAGAGAACAATATCATCACTTCACAATCCTCCATTATAAATGACCTGCGCCTCAGAGAGTGTAGATGAAACGCAATTAACATTGTCTTGATATCTTGTGTTCAGATGTGTTTGTGAACGTAACTGATGTGAGAATTCTGGGAGGTCATTATACCAAATCATTTTGATGACTCAGGCCTTTCAGAATAACTAAAAAACATTTGAGATGGTGTGCAATGAAACTGATCCGCTGGTCAATCCAGTTATCCAATCACATCCACTGCTGAGGCAAAGTCACGTGAGGTTTTTTCGCATTGCGCATCAAGGGATTTATTCAGAAAATGTGTTTCCAGCATAATTTGTGTGCATATGTTTTCAAAATTATCAGTGTTTAGAATTTATGCACACATTGGCATTTCCATACAGCGTCTTTTATGTGATATCCCAACATTTGCATAACAATATGTGGATGGAAACATGGTACAGTGAATAGACCTTACAAATCCCCCCCACCCTTCACATCCCAGCCTGGTGCTGGATTGAACAAGTTCGAAAATAGTCAAGCCTGATCTCAGCAGGTAAAAAGGTGAGCATTTAAAATTTGCATAAAGATGTTTGACAGGAGGAGAGGTTTGGATGAAGACAAGCAGTGCAGGAGCGACGGAGCCACTTACCGTCTGTGCAGTCCATTGGGGAAAGGAAGGGGACAGGTGCCAGCAGAGATTTAGCATGAAAATAAGAGTCACAGGGAAATTGTTAGGAGAGGCCGGAGTCCGTCTCCTACACGCAGAGACGCGGCTGTCAAAAGTCATTGGGCGAGATCTCCGGATTGTCATCTTCAGCAAGTAATTTGGTCTTACAACAGGTCTAATGATAATCAATGTCTAAACCAAATTCATTTGAAATCATCTAGTGCAAATGTTACAAGGAGTGAATCAGTTTTGAATGAGTGCATTTTTAATTCACGAAATATACTATATGTAAATGCAGTCCAATTTAGAGTATAGATAATAATAATAATAATAATAATATATATATATATATATATATATAGACCTAAATTAATATAAAAAATATTTAGGACTGAGCAGAATGAGAAAACCTTTTTTTAAAGATATTAAGGAAAAACTCCATGGCTTGAGACCATTTAAAATGTTTCCAAATAGTTCCATGTTTTCAGTGGAACCCTGTCCCCATGATTTTAACCAAAGACAAACTGAAAGCAGACTAAAAGAGCAACACAACTGCGACACAAAAAATAAATGCTGAAAGCTCACAAAGAGACATAGTTAAGCTTCAAGAGTTTCTCATAGAACATCCACTGCATTGCAATAAGATAGTTTACATCTATCATATACGTGTTGAGATTTAAAATGATTTTACTTTTAAATACCTTTGAATTTTGGTTCTCAAAAACTTTGATGGGTTTCTTTGATGACTCACCTTGATCTCAGTAACCAGAATGTCTGTGATGCTCCCCAGAACAGTAACAAAGTCAAAAATGTTCCATGCCTCCTTCAGGTAATTCTGCACACATTGAGAAAAATATGCAACTCGGTAGAAATCAGTTGAATAAGACAAATCTCCCATAAAGAGTGTTATTTATGTGCCATGTGGAGTTTCTGTCATTCAAAATGAGTCACTTTTGAGATTTGATTTCAGTCATAATGCTGGGTTAAAAGGGATGTGCTTATGTAGAGTAGGTAATGTGGTAGATTTTCACTGTAGTAGATTTTCAGCAAACCTTTATAATGACCCCACTTTAAATCTACTCTTATTCCTAATCATCCCACCGCTAGTTCCTCTACAAGTTCTTCAAGTACATTTTCACCAAACACAAGCACGCGAAGCGCAGGATTCAGAGGGACGGAGAGAAGTAAGACCCTGTCATAACCAACCTGATAAGCACTCGAGCTGCAAATGGACTGATTTAATAAACGATACGCACATATAGAGTCGGAAAACTCACGTTTGTTTACTTCTTTTCATTCAGCATTTAATAATTTCCTGAGACATATTTGGGCATTTTTAGATCGATTTAGGTTAAGTATGGACTGATTTTACTTGTGAAAACCCTGTCAGTTTTAAACGCTTTTACTATTCTAGTGAGGACAATGTGGCAGACAAAAAAGGCAGCCTAAAATGCAGACATTGGTGAGTCATGTAATAGATCTTTCATGGCAGGATGGTCTGTCAGGTGTCTTAGCCTTGGGTCCGTGTCTCTCATGAACGGCGCGAAGATTAGTCGAGTGCTGCTAGACATGGATCGCGGACAGAACAACGTGAGCGAGACTCGTTCATCAACCCTGGGCTCCAAACAGGTGGAGGTAAACGTAAGCGTCACGCACCAGAAAAGCTTTTTAATGAATGAGCCTCATAAATGGAAATGGAGCTTGAGATGAGACCTTCTGCTGCAGGTCAGACCATCAGGCACTGAAGAGAGATTTATGATGCATTGCTCATACCGTACACACAACCACACTCATACTTACACATTCTTCTCACCCACAGGGCAGTCATTAGCCTCTCACTGATTTCACAGTTCTTGCGCTACTGACAGCCCTGTAGGCTGGTCAATCAACCGACAGAGCACTGCTTTTTCACTCAAAGCAGTCATTCATACTTCATTCCTCTCAACTTTGGGTGAAACTAGCCTACCAATTTATTCTGCCCAAGAGTTGCTCTATCCACCCTAATCTAAACGCTCAGTGGGAAAAAAAAAATACTATGGAAGTCAATGGGGTCCATCAACTGTTTGGTTATCAACATTCTTCAAAATAACTTCTTTTGTGTTCAGCCGATGAAATAAATTAATGCAGGTTTGAAAATCGTATTCATTTAAGGACCTATCAGCCCTCATATCTAGGTCATTATTTGCGGGAGTGACAAATGCATTACATCACCAAACTCACACCGGTGAAATTTTCAGGAATCGCAACCACCTTCACGGAAAACCGCGCTGTGTGAACGGATCCAGACATTTTTGTGCATTGGGAAACTAGTTTAGTATCAAACACTGAATGTAATGATAAAATATAAGTGTTATCTGAATCTCTCCACTCTCACCAGAGGGCCGAAGGCGATGACCTTGAGAATGCACTCCAGTGTGAAGAGAGCCGTGAAGATGATGTTCAACCACTTCAACATTTCCTCATACGGTTTAGGAGCCTCGTGAAACTGCAGAGGAAGAAAAAACACGCAGCGTTAGCGACTCACTCAAATATTCAAAAGACCTGTTAAATAGGCTTTCAGGACTACAAAATTAGAAATGACTTATTCATAACTGAATATTCACACACACCATTTAATTAGCATTGCTGAACCTCAATCAACCTTGGCAATGCCTTTACAAACTAACTTACAGATAAATCACAAGAGGGCACTTCCTGTTTGCAGCTTTCCAGACGTACAATTGACTGATGAACTTTGAGCCACACTAGACCGTTCGCAAAGGGGGGGGGGGGGGGGGCGGTACAGTATGCCTGGATGTTTGGATGCACTGATTTAATCTAAATTGCCTCTTTTTCAATTTAATTAGAAAGCCCTCAGTATAACTTACAGCCAACAGGGAGTTATTATATAGAAAAAAAGCATTCTATATAAACCCAGATAGTAATTTTCCCTTTAACCTGTTAACTCTTTGAGTAAAGAGGTGAAAATGCATTCTGAAAATGGATGTAATTCGTGAATTCTTTGAAATACAACCCTAGGGTAAAGAAGAAGTTTGTTTACAGTAAAGTACATATACTGCACTAAACATTTGATATATTATACAAAATATATGTTTTACTAAATAATGTGGACTTGCTAGAAACCAAACCTAGGCCATATGTCTAAACAAGTTGTGCTCCAATTTTAAAGTTGATATCACAAAAATGTGGGCTCTTGTAAGAATTTGTTCAGGCAGTATAGACCATTTCACAAGAAGTAAACAACACTGGTCCAGAAGCACTTCCTGTTTCAGTTTTTTAACACTACATAAAAGCTGGGATAAAATACAACCAACAGAACATTTAAAAATGAATCAAAAAGTTAAACAAACATCTTTAAGATGTTTTCTTTACATGTGAAATAAAGAAAACAGTTACAAACTGAAACAGGAAGTGCTTCTGGACCAGTGTTGTTTACATCTTGTGAAATGGTCTATACTAAAAACAGGATGAAACTCTTATGTGCTCTACTGACATAAATTAATACATTTCTGTCACAATATCACTTCTATCACAAAACAGTGGCCAAATGTGAAACCTTGAGTTTCAGACCTTTCCAACGATACGTGTTTTGTTAAGATTAGAAAAACATTTGATTACAAAATAGTGCTGTAAATTTTGTAAAATGCAAAACAACACCCCTTATAGGGGGAGGAATCTGCTAAAAAGGATTTAAAGACCTACTTCTAGTTTTAGCCTGAAAATGACAACAGTTTTACCTTCATCATGAGGACCACCGTGTTGATGGCGATCATGGTCAGGATGGAGTACTCAAATGGAGTGGACACCACAAACTTCCACATCTTGTACTGGTAAGACTGCTTGTCTTGCGGCATGTAGCGGGTCAGAGGTTTGGCGTTGATGGCAAAGTCGATACAGGCTCGCTGTTGATGAAAGCGCACTTATCTCAACAAGAGTTCCTCAGCAAAATGTTGATGTGAATATCTACAAGCTTAAAACTACTCATCACGCTGATCTTTCCATGTTTGATTATTAGAACAGCATTGGTATTCCTGGAGCTCTCTAAATCAAACGAATGAAAGAACTAATGAGCGCTTGTAAACAAACATCAAACCAGCAGCACAAATATGAACAGTGCTCAGTTAAATATTTAAACACAGGCTAAAAATTCATCTGAAAGAATATATAGATACAGATCAGAGACAAATACTGTTTAAAGAAACCAGAAAAAAGATTTTTGTTGAAATTCGAATGACATTCACAGAATTCACTGCAATGAGCTCAGGAAGAAAACATCTAAAATGTAGTCCATAGATATATATATATTTATATAGTATTAACGTGACCAGATTTCTGAAATAGGGGACACTTCCTACAGTACTTCAGTGGTCTAAATATTGTGGGTTTCATATATTGTTAATAATTATGCTGTTCGCCGGTCAAACTGACCCTAATTGGCTTTTAATACAATTGACTAAAAATCATTTTATGAAAAAAGTAAATAAACGTAACAAAATCACAACTTTATTATATTATAACAAAATGAGGACTTTACATTTTCTAATTGAAATATTAATATTTTCACAAACCATGTGTGTGTATATATATATATATATATATACACACACACACACACACACGGTTTGTGAAAATATATATACAGTAAATACGGTTTGTGAAAATATTAATATTTCAATTACAAAATGTAAAGTCCTCATTTTGTTATAGCCTAGGAGACTGAATTACTGAATTCAGCCTATATATGTATATATATATATATATATATATATATATGGTGAATTCAGTCTCCTGCTGAATGAACTGGACTGTTGGCTGGTTTTAAGAGATTTCAGACAGTTTTCAGCTAATTGGGCTTGGAGAACCATCTGCATGCCCAGCTAAATACCTGATCAGTGTTTGTAGCAACTATGCTTATATTGAGTGCTTCAGAACAGTTATTTATGAGGACTAACTGTTTGAATGCTGCCTTAGAAGAGAGCAGGCAACAATGCAGCTTAATATGAACAGAGCTCATTTGAAAGAGTTCTGCCTGACTGGTCTAGTAGTTCCTCATGGGGTTTAGTTCTGCGCTTTGTGTGTGTGAGCATGTGTTTGTCAAAAGAGCTAAGACTCAGGGTAGTAAAGATGTAGACGGACAGGTGCGCTGGCCTCACACAGGTGAGAGGAATTCTTTTAAGAGTGCTTTTCCTCCAAGCATTTCAAAACTGTCCATGCATTTATAAAACAACGACTTTGCCCTTATTTGCATATACACTGAAACTCCATTTTAAGCGACACTGATTTGTGTGAACAGTTTACCCCCCCGCATCTACTCATCCGTTCACGGTTGATTGTAACTGACTATGCAGGCTTCCAACCGCACAATCCTACCTCGTTCTTTTCCAAGCTGCACTCTGACATGGCTTTATCTCCCTGCTCCTGGAACGTGATTATGATCAAAGCCACAAAGATGTTGACAAAGAAGAAGGGGAAGACAATAAAGTAGACCACGTAGAAGATGGAGGTTTCCATGCGATAACCTGGACTGGGACCTTGGTCTTCAAATGTGGCATCTACAGAATGTTTCAGCACCCTACAGAACCACAGGGAAAATGTCAGCAAGATGATCACATAAAACATCAAAAGGTTAAAATGAGGGAACATACACATTACAACAATGAAAAGATTTGTTTTAGAGTAAAAAAAAAGAAAGCCAACAGGAAATAGGAATTGTGGTCACATTTTCTTACCTATTGTGATATCGATGTGAAACTACTTTTTTTTTTTCTAAATATAAAAATGATTCGCATGGATAAATCTTTTATAATAAACACTGCAAAATTCTATTAAAAATAATGATTTCATGGTGACTTTTTCCTTAAACTATGTAATGCATCAAACAGTTAAGATTATTACAAAACTGGACTAACACTAAAAGTTCAAAATATAAATTTAATCCATATTTAGTTTCTACGCTATTTGCTGTAAAATTTTATCCCCTTTGCTTCTTCTCCCTTTTCTGATTGTCCCTCTATAAAAAGGCAAAAAGTCTTAACAAAAAGACATTTGAAAACATTCAAGTATTTATTTAAAAACTCTTTGCAAAGTAGAACAGACCGAAAATATCAGCTTAGACCAGTAGACAGGGAAAAGCTGTTTATATACAGTCCCATACAGTGGTCGAGATAAGATGTCCATGTCCATTAAAACTCAGAGTACTAGCGGCAACTCTTGAATCTTAAAGAGGGATTTAAATTAATATCAAAAAAACTTTCTGGATTTTCTTGATGCAACGCTTGAGTTTCTTTCAACCAAGTATGTATTTTTCTATGAAATGAAAAGTAAAAACACAGATTACACAAGAGAGTTGAGAATCAGAATAGAGTAAAAGGAGAAAGGGATTAGAGTAAGAAAAGCAACAGTGTCTCAGTATGATGTGTGTGTGTGAGTGATGAGGAGGACTCACGTTGGCCAGCCCTCTCCTGTAGAGACAGTGAACAGGGTCAGAAAAGCCCACAGGACGTTGTCATAATGAAAATCATACTTCTTCCACTCGCGCGGCTGCGTCAAGGCCACTCCATCACTGTCGTACTCCAGGAACTGACCCCTGAGTGCAGACAGAACAATCCACCACAAACTCTTTCTTTATCTTCATTTACTTCCTTCTCCTTCCTGCTTTGAACCATTCCTTTCCTTTTACCCACTTCCTCTGCTTCTTCCTCTTTTTACATTCTTCCTTCCCAATTTCTTTACTTCCTTCTGTCCTTTCCTTTTTCCCTCACATTCATCCTTTCTTTCCTCTTCTTTTCCATTTCATCCCTTTCCTCTTTCCTTCCTCCTTGCCTTAATTTAATTTCCCCTTCCTTCCTTCCTTCCTTCCTTCCTTCCTTCCTTCCTTCCTTCCTTCCTTCCTTCCTTCCTTCCTTCCTTCCTTCCTTCCTTCCTTCCTTCCTTCCTTCCTTCCTTCCTTCCTTCCTTCCTTCCTTCCTTCCTTCCTTCCTTCCTTCCTTCATTCTTCCTTCTTTCCATTCCTTCGCTCTTCCTTTCCTTTTTACCTTTTGTATTTCCTTCCTTTCTTCCTGCCTACATTCACTCTTCCTTCCATTCCTTCATTCTTCCTTTCCACCTTTTGTCTTTTTGTCCTTCCTGCCTTCCTATATGTTAGCTCTTCATTTCCTTTTTACCCTTCGTCTTTCCATCCTTCCTTTGCTCTTCCTTCCCTTCCCTTTTCCTCTTTCTTTCGCTCTAGCCCCTTTGTGCCAGGGTTATTATTCGTTAACTAAAACTATTAAAACATTTTAGCTCTTTGAAATAAGGCTGAAAAAATCAAATATAAATTTTTGATGAATATTTTGAAATGCTCCATTGGCAACTGACGGAAATAAGTTTAAGTTGAAACACTAACATTGCAAGGTTAAAAAGTAAACAAATACAAACTAATACTGAACTAAAACAGAAATATAAATAAATTAAACTTAAACAGTAATATTTAAGATCAACACAATTACTAAAAATAACTAAACTAGTATATAAAACTACTTCACACTTCCTTTTCTTTTTACCTTTTGATTTTCCTTTCTGCCTGAAAACCTTCCTTCCATTTCCTCCCTCTCCATCTTTTTACTTTCACTTTCATCCTCCTCTCTCCATCCACTCTTTCTCTTCCCAACACAATTACTAAAAAATAAATTCAAATAATGATAATATAAATCAAATAAATATACTAGTATAAAAAGCATACTAAAATAACACTACTTCACAATCACTTTTCTTTTTACCTTTAGATTTTCCTTTCTGCCTGACAACCTTCCTTCCCTCATCTTTTCTATTTTTTCTACTTTCACTTTCATCCTCCTCTCTCCATCCACTCTTTCTCTTCCCTCCATCCATCTATCCAACCATGTAGAATATATCCAGACAGTCGAGCCAGAGCACAGCCGTACCTGCAGTCCTTCTCCAGGGCTTTGGACTCATCGGTGCAGTGGAAAAACTTCCCCTTGAAAAGCTGCACAGCAATGACGGCGAAGATGAACATGAAGAGGATGTAAACGATGAGGATGTTGAGCACATTCTTCAGAGAGTTCACTACACAGTCAAAGACGGCCTGGAGACACACAAACGGCACAAATCAAATCTCCTGCAAACCGTGGACAGCCTCACTGCCACATGCAGACATAATGCACACACTTTCATTAAATCCATCTGTGTAGAATGTGTCGCTGTGTGTTAAAGTCACAAGGCCTTTGTGAAAGCACACAACTTCGCTAACTGTAGGCGGTGACTTAATTGATTATTGCTCCTCTTGCTCTAAATAATCACATGATTGCACTAAGACCGAGGATAAAATTAGAGTGGGGGGATGTGTAAATCTACTCATTTTTCTGTCATTTCTGCTTGTTTAAGCAGGGTATCATTATTAGCAATGAGTAGTGTATATTTTTCACCATTAATGCTAATAAGATCTCTGTAGGCAGGATAAATGTCTCTGTGGCCCTGTGAGGCTTTATCTGTGCATTAGAATAGCAAATAACCTAAATAAAACCTGCAGTTTTATATGTTAGTCTATTATTTATTTTAATGCCGCCGGTGATGAATCGTCAGGCAGATGAATAAATGATGGTGTGAAATGTTAGTTTAAATGTATAATTTAGCCATGTAATGAGATAACAGTAAGTGTCTCTAAAACGATTTGTTTGTGTGCCTAAGTGTGTGATTTGATTAGAGAGAAAGATGCGACAAGGCTGTTAATGTCGAGGGCTACACAAGGGGCATCCCTGCCTGCAAAATATTCACACAAACAAGCACAATATCACACAGTGGCAGCTTCAGATTTTTTTTTCTCTCTTGCCTAACAGTTCAGATGGGGTGCTAAGATTTTTTTTTAAGTGCATTATTAACTTAGTAATATCCTGCATTTATTGCATTTAATTTAATTTTAAATATTACTGTAAAACTACACATTTACAAGGTCACATTATAAAGTGTGCCAAGTTATTAAACAAGTGTTATTAATTTAGCTCAAAATCTTTATGCTTGCCTTATCAGGTCTTTGAATCAAAAACGGTTTATTCTGCGAGCATGTTATTTTAGTATTATTATACATACTGTTATAGCAATTACAAATATCACAAAGGAACCATTTAAGCTTTATTTCAAATACCAAAATATACTACTATAGTTTAAGGAAAACACTATCATTACCATCTAAATTTTATCAATGCTTCTCAATAAGACTGTATACACCTCAACATATAGACCCTCTGTGAGTTTTAATGAATGATATTAATCTTTCACTGGTGGATCTAATTTTGTCATTTAAACCTAAAACTCCATAATTCCACTTGCATTATCAATTTCCCCACTCAGGAGTAAGATAGGAGGTAAGCAGGGACATTACCTTGAGTTTGGGCAAACGTTTGATGGTCTTCAAGGGCCTCAGGACTCGAAGGACCCTTAGGGACTTGATGGTGTTAATGTCCTTGCCTTTAGTTCCTCTGTAAGGAAAAAGCAATGACTTAGAGACATTTGAAGACGCTTGCATTCACACATTTTAACATGCATTTTGATGTCATCTGCCAGCACATGCACAAAGACTTAATTCAATTACATTTTCATGAGCTAATCACTTCCTCCAGCCCATCATGTAATTCAGAATCAGAATTACATTAGCTAGAGGTCATTTGGTTAGTAGAAAGCATGCCTTTAAGGGGAGGTTATTCTACAGAATCAAACCTACCTCTGAGCATGACAATAAATATAATGTAACATGTTATATTTCTGTAGAATAACACTCATTTTACCAGAAAAAGATACAAAGAAACAATCCATTCAGCAGGAATGGTCTCTTTGTAAAAACCACAGTTGGCCAAGTCATATTCTGATGCGGATGCCGCCATGTTGCTAGGATGATGTGGGAGTTACTATTAGATTGCTAGTGGTTATTTACTGGCCTAAGCCAAAACACACCCGAATCTCTATGATGTTCTGTGGCCAGTTGCATAAACTTCTAAGATTCATCATACAAGTCTTTTTTTTTTTTCTTCAAAGGGATACTCCACTTTTTTGGAAATAGGCTCAGTTAAACAGTTGAGTTTTACCATTTTCGAATCCATTCAGCCGATTTTCTGATAATTAGAAGAATATCAATAACCAGACAGTTTTTGGTCTCATTGACTATTATATTTTTTTTTCTACTATGGAAGTCAATGAGACCAGAAACTGTCTGGTTACTGATATTCTTCTAATTATCCGAAAATCGGCTGAATGGATTCGAAAACGGTAAAACCCAACTGTTTAACTCTGGGGGAGTGGAAAAATGAGCCTATTTCCAAAAAAAGTGGAGTATCCCTTTAAGACTGGTCATAAAAATTATTCATATAAAAAAAATAGATTGACCTATTCAAATCCAAAATACATTGATGTGTTATAGCAAATGCCCCCCGCGGTCCCTAAATATGGTTCAGGAACATTATTTACTGCAAGTTTAAGGGAAGTGTAAGTTTTTCAGGTTTTTTTTATAAAGGCAAAAGTCATGAATTCTAAAGCTACAATGACTTTTAATACCGTTTTTGTTTTTATTTTAAAATTTGAGAAATCATAACAGTGATGAACCAAAATTGAAAAGAAAATAAACCCTTTTAAAGTCTTAATAATGAATGTCGCTTTAATGTTTGAGTTCCATTCAGTTGAACTGTTTTCAAGATAGACTTGAAGTTCAGAAGACAGTGAACATCAATGCCACACTGAAAAATTCATTCTCTGAATGTTACAGCTGGTAGATTCACACTGAATGACAGGTGAAATTACACAGCTCAAACGAAGGGAACACACCTGAAAAGATAAAAGGCTATTTAAAAACTTTTACTCTAAACTTTAGCAGAATGACCTCAATTGAACCTTGTTTAAGGCTGAGTCCTTTCTGACCAGTGAGATGTTTCCTTGACAGTTGAAAGTTCACTAAGATGAGCTTTTCATTATTTTCTTTACATTCATTATTCAAAATACAAACTTCAAATGCTCTGCATTACAAATAAGCATTTGCTTCCGGATACTAAAAAGAGTAGGTTTAGGGAGTCATACTGTGATTGGTCTGCTTACTTTTTCTCTCCCATGAGGAGTTGGGTCTCTATCACACTGGCATGCAATGTCCATGCAATGTCTGTCAGTCATACATACACACAAGCACCCCATGGGTGCATGTGGATCTCTGCTTAAAGAGACAGTCAACTATACTCCCATAGATTTCAGAGGAATATCTGTCTCCAACCACCGAGCACACAAGAGGTCCATTGATGAACAGATTCTGCATAATGTATGTGCCCGGAAAAAGCTACGTGATGCACCATGATACAAGAGTAAATAGCAAATCAGGGTCAAATTTAACCCTGATTTAAATGGGGTGGGGGGTGTCTTGACTAATGGGCTTAATTTGTAAGCAAAATGTTATATTTTGCATATTATTTTTTATATTTTTGTTATATAAAACTAGATGTAAAAGTGAATGTTTTTTTTTTGGTTGGGGGTTTTATCCAGATATTCCAATTTTATCCAGATATTTATTGACAGGTTGTGAGTTTTATCCACAAATGTTTAGTAAAAGGAATATGAGCAAATATGAAGGTCATTTTAGAACGATATGCCATCAACTAGCTTCTAAAATACAAAGACGGTAAAAACATCCATCTGCTTATCCATATTCAAAACAAGTTGGTTATAAAACTTCTTTTGATACGTATATAGCAGATGTTCAATTTACGCAATAATTTAACAACAATAATCTGAATTATTTCAGCTTCTGTTTGACCATTATCATAAGGAGTGGGTGGCTGTCCTCTGGAAACAGTAGGAGTAGTAGTTTCTAAAAGCCCTTGCAAAGTTCGAAGGTCATGTAATTGGGAAAGAGTTGGTCCATCCCCTTCCACAAAGGCTGAATGAGAGGAAGAGTCGAAGGGTGGTGAGTTTGGAGTGATCCGTGGGAAGGTTGGGGGGGGTAAAGGGTATGTTTTTATAGATATATATATAGATTGTCCCCACCTGGTCACGCTTTGCTGTGATCTGACGAGGGAAACCGATGAAAAACCATGCACATGTGCACAAACACAGAAACACACACATAATAAGCCGCGTCGCAGACACAGAAGAAGCAGTAAATGCAGATCAGCATGAAGAGATTAAATGAGATCAGAGCTGTCACTGAGCGGAAACACTGCGGAACGACGAACAGCAAAGAAAGATTGAAGCAACTCTAGTGTACAATAAAACATTACATTAATCAAAGACATGATGCAATGGGGGATTATTAGTTACTGTTTGTTTGTAACATCTCTGCAAGATAAATCACACTCAGCAGTAAATATAGAGGCATCGAAACATAGAATAAAAGGTCACAGACCTGCATATATCACATATACACACCCACACACACTATAAGAAAATGCATGCTTGTGCTAGAGGTTCATGCAACTCCTGGTAATGGATACTGATTGTGTACAGCAACTAAAATGGATCATTTTAAATGCACTTTGTGTAAACGCCTTTAGTTTTAATTCATTCAAAACCAATTGTAGTTTTCATCACCGATTGCTGCCAGTAATGGGGACTCATCATTTATCTTTTTATTTTTTTGAGGTAATTTTCTAAAATGAGGTAATTTTCTAAAAAAAAATATATATATATATATATTTTCTTTATTTCTCTATATTTTCTTTATGGTGGCTTAATATGTCGTAACAGATGTTTTCCTTAGTAGATATTTGTAATGTCTTTCATCTGATTTGCTCGCATCACTGTATAGCAGCAAGTATCATTCAGTCTTTCTTAAAAATTGTTTAAAAATGTATTATGTTGGGCTTCCTTATAAATTTACAGCACCGTGAGTAATGTTGCATTTACTCGCTGAAGTGTAATGAGTTTAAAAATTCATTTTAGACACTGCTTGTGTCCAGTTGTGCATGTCGTAGCCTGGTCTACCGATTCCTTATCCACACAAACACACACTACTAGTCAGGCAGATTAACATGAAGCAGATAATAACAAATGCGTACCCCATGAAGCTCCTGAAAGCAACGCAAGCGAAAAGGAAAGACGGGGCAGATCAAGAAAGCGAGAAAGAGAAAGAGAGACAGAAAGAGAAAGAAAGATGGATGGAGAAAGAAGGAGCTGAATGAGAAACATTAAAACCCACAGGACACAAACCACTGAAGAACAGCACAGGAGAGAAAAGAAGATTACAGCACAGTTTAAGAGAAACAAGCACAGGAGTGTCAGAAAGAGCAAATACAGTGTATGAGATACATTTATATTCGTTGTACAACAGTGCACTGAAACCAGAGCTAATACTGTTCTAAATGTATTTATGTCCTAGGGGTTGGTTTTTTATCAAAACTAACAGGTTTTATTTATTTTGTGTTATATTATATAAATGAAGGTCACACTAGAACATCTTGGTTTAATCAGTCCTCCATCATTTCCCACTTTCAAATACCTTTTATGTACAGAATTTATTGTTTACACTTACCAAAATTTGAATCTTACAATATGAAAATCCATCATCAAATGAATTATATATTTGTAAATATTGTATTCATTGAAATCTAATCATCTCTCAGTTCTGGTGCCATTTCACATGACCAACCTAATAATATTTTTAGTTTTAGGGTTTTTACTATTTTAATTATGTGCCATTTCTGATCTAATTGGATTTTTTTTAATTATGCAGAAAATGTGAAAATATTACGTAACATTTTATTTTAAGGTAATGTAGATACACGTTACTATAGTAATAACAGTAAATTCAGCATAATTGCAAGTAACTAATCATAAAACAAACCCGAACCCATAAAACATAAAACAAACCCAAACCGTAACTCTATAATAAGTACATGTTGTTAATTAACATTACTCAGGACTTATCTGAGTGAGTACAATGTATAGTGTAACCAAATATTATTTACATTTGTGTATCAAAATATTGTTTGATTTAGCAAGACAAAGGAGTCGTTATTTTATTGCAAATTTTTTTTTTAAATGTCATTCCCACCATATAATGCTAATAAAACCAATACATCATTTTAGATTTGTTGGAAATGACACTGTAGTACTAGAAATGCTTATGATTTCCAGAAAAAAATGACAAAAACGACAGCATGGTGCAAGCGAAACTACTGCTGGACGTTAGTTTATTTGATTTTTTACTAACAATGTAAATAAAGTAGAATAATAAAAAAATTGTGTGTTTTTTGTAAATCCACAGGGGCAAAAGTGTCCATAGCTAAAAAAAAAAAAACTCTTGTTGAACCGGATATCTCCAAGTACAACATGTTCCTGGATCAACATCTTTGTAGAACATGAAACAACATTCCAATCAATCAATTACAGTAGATTTGAGGGACATTTACAGTTTATTTCAGGTTTAGGCATGAAACCAGGTTAAAGTGCTTCTACATCAGTGTTATTCATGTATTATTTCCCTCTGATTTTATGGATAAGTTATTAATAGGGTTAGGTTTAGGGGTGGGGATATGGTTAGAAGTATATTCAGGATCCAGGAACGAGTCTATCTTGGCAAAATCACGGTAAATATGCTGTAGTACCACCATCGGAACCACAGATGCCAGTCAGAGATGGTGGAGACAGCACTACTGAATAATACAGCTGCAAACTCACTCAAAATGTCTGGTCTCAAAAGCGGAGCAGTTTTCTCTCACCTCTTTTTCAGCTATTTTAAAGCACCCCAGGGTCTCTCTGTCAAATGCAGAGGTGCAGATCATCTGCACATGACGACTAAGAAGATTCAGCCACACTAGACCTTGGATTATTACAAAAATCACACACGCGCTGTCAAACCAAATGTGTGTGTGTGTGCGTTTATGTTTGCCTCGCAGAGAAATCTGTATCCGACTGGGTTCTTTAACTACACAATGTTGGCTCTCGGCTATGAAAAACTCACGCCGTCGTGATGTCACGGTGGTTGCCATGGCTATATGCTTGCAAAATTTTCTGACTGGTTGTTAGCGTGTTGCAATGTGGTTGCTAGGGTAACTTGCGGCTTAGGTGGTTACTAGGCACCTACATCATTGTGAGTCTAGCGGATTGTATTGCCGCTTTATCATCCATCAAATGAAATTTTTAAATTCAATCAATTAGAAGATTAATAGCACACTCAGGAAATCATTACTAATTATAATTGGTGGCTCCGGAACAATAAGAATAAGACCTTGTCCACACTAATACGTTTTAGTTTAAAAACACATCTTTTTCTCTCTGTCCCATACGTCCACACCGAGACAGTGTTTTATCCTGCGAAAACTGAGCTTTTTGAAAACTTTCCCAAGTGGATGAATTTGAAACATCGTTTTTATGTTGTAGTGTGGACTATGAGAATGGATGACGCATTTAGTCATGTGATATATATTGAGCACCTGTTATAACAATACAACTTGAGGGTTTACGAATTTAGACTTTTCCGACGTGGTTTCAGTGTAGATGAAAACTTTTTGGAAAACACTTGAAAACGCCAGTGTGGACGGAGTGTTTTGACATGAAAACGTCGTTTTCAAATGTATCCGAATGAATGTAGACGTAGCCTTAAAGGAAAACCGTTGTAAAATGTGTCCTCTCTGCAACTGTCTGTCTCAAATCCTGTGGGAAATACTAAATCCGATACCATTAGCACAGGTGTGCGCGCTGCACACGATCCCATTATGAGCTAAAAAAAAAAAAAAAAACAGATGCACGTTAAATCTATCAGTTCCTAAGACCTAAACTGCACACAGATGCCACACTTCCCATCATCACAAAGCTTCATCTCACACCAGAAACTAAACAGTGAGCAGTCACATCCTGTTTCTGTCATTTTCAACTGAATGCTCTCTTGCTGAATTTGAACTGACAGTCTGCTCGTCTCTGCTCTGCTCTGACAGAATTACAAAAAAAGCCACTCACGAGCAGGCGAAGGCCACCAGAGCACCGCTGACTACGATGAAGTCCAGTATGTTCCACAGGTCCCTGAAGTAAGATCCAGGATGCAACAGCAGCCCAAGATCAATCATCTAGATGGAAGGAGGTGAACAAAAAAAGAAATGAATACTTGTATTCAAACAAAGACACATTTAAATTGATCAAAAGTGACAGTAAAGACATTTATAATGTTACCAAATTAATTCTGTTCTTTTGAACTTTCTATTAATCAAAGAATGAATGAAGTGTCAGGGTTTCAACAAAAATATTAAGCAGTACAAAAGTTTTCAAAATTGATGATAATAAGAAATGTTTCTTGAGCAGGATCATGTGACATAATAATGTAATAATGCTGAAAATTCAGCTTTGCATCACAAGAATAAACATTTTAAAATATATTAAAAAAAAAATTCTGTTCTTTCAAATTTTTTACTGTTTTTTGATCAATTAAATGCAGCTGTGGTGAGCATAAGAGGCTTTGTAAAAAAATATCCTGCCAATCCCAAACAGGGAAGTTTAAATAAAGTAAAAAATTATATATATATATATATATATATATATATAGTTCAGGTGCAAAAGCCTCTAAATGCCATTTGAAATTTTCTTCTTTAATGATGATTTTTATCAAACTTGTATATTTAAGTTCAGTAATTTCACTTAAATGGCAATGATAATTACCTATTAATTGTTATTTAAGTGAAATTACTGAACTTAAATATACAAGTTTGATAAAAATCATCATTAAAGAAGAAAATTTCAAATGGCATTTAGAGGCTTTTGCATCTGAACTCTTCATATATATATATATATATATATATATATATATAATCAGTATGTATGTATATTTTATATATATATATATATATATATATATATATATAAACAGTATGTGTATATATATATATATATATATATATATATATATATTAGGGCTGTCAAATGATTATCCAACATAAAAGTTTGTGTTTACATAATATATGTGGGTGCACTGTGTATAATTATTTTTGTATATATATATAAATACACACACATTCATGTATGTTTAAGAAAAATATATATTTTTATATATAAAATATTGATATTTATATATAATATAAATTATATATAAATCTATATACAGTATATACATGAAAATATTTCTAATATATACAAGCAGTGTGTGTATTTATATACAGCAAAAAATAAAACAAATACATTATTGTGTCAATGACACTGAAAAGGAGGTTTTATTTACCTTTATAACCATCTCAAATGTGAACACACCAGTGAAGACGTAATCTAGATATTTCAGCACCTGAGGGAACCACAAAACAGTGTGAGTGCTAGAAATAAGAAGTAATTTTCTTCCAATTTCTGCAGTCCCACAGACCGTTTGAGCAAGGGAAAGCATATGATGCCATAAATACTGAAAAAAAAACTGTGTAAACCATAGTGTTCGGCCCCACTGCAGCTATGATTCAGCGAGTAATTCAATAATCTTCAAAACAGAACAGACATGATGTACAATCTATTTTTCTGAGAGACAACAATAGATGTTTTGAATAAACACAGTTTTTCCAGCCATTCATTCCTCCCACATGAGCAGTTTGGGAATATTGTGTTAAAGCAGAGATTCATCAGACAAGCCGATCACGCTCAATGTATCAGAAAACAGAGGACAATAGGATTCTTGAAAACATGTATAGATGTAATTCTCTGTTATTTAGAGAGCACTGCTACGTTTATGGGCTAATGCAGTCGCACTGGACGCTTAAGTCTTCTAGGCTTTCACAGAAAAAAAAAAAATGTGCAAAAGCCAGTCAGATGGGCAAGTGACAATGCTCTGCTTGACATTTCAGACTAGAGCTGCCATACTGCCCTACAGGACTGGACTTGAGTTATGTAAACACCACTGATGTCATAACCCCAGCTTACAAAGAAAGAAAGTGACAATGAAATCTTTTCAGGTCTTTTTTTTTTTTTACATTTCTTGACATTTGCAAGTGGGTCTGTGTGTCTTACGTCATTGCGGGGGGCATTGGCCTGCACAGGGTCTTCAGCAGCGAGAGCGATGCTGCTCATGGTGATGACTGTGAGGATACACATCTCAAAATACCTCAGGTTCACCACATAATGACACAGCCGTCTCACTCTACAGAGGCAACATGAAAACACAACACTTATTCACACTATTCAGTAGGTACATTGAAATCTAAATGTTTAATCACAGCAGTTCTATGCAGGTAATATATGTGATACACATTTCATGTCTCTGAATGTGTGAAGAATGTGCTAGAACATATAGTGTTTGAGGTTAGGCTCACGGGTTAGTTGGACCAAACACAAACATGGAGCTGTATGGCAGAATGTGTTTGGGCGCATTTTGATTTAGCTCATCAAGATCCTTCTTTTCCTCGTTCAGCAGAAGACTGTCACCATCGATGTTGTTCACTGTCAAACAGATAATCATTAGAGCAAAGATGGGGAGGGAATGTCACAAGTGGTAAATAAACAATCGATGCTGCCTTCTTTTTAGCAGTTCTGCTTTTTCAATAAAGATTCTGTAGTAGATAATACTAAAGTTAGTAGATAATTCAAACAAAAAAAAATTTTTTTTTCATAATCTATTTACCCTTATGTCACTTAAAACACTTTTTCCTCTGTGGAACACAAAAGTAGTCATTTAGTATAATGTCTAAGCTGCTGTTATACAAGATCTTGATCTTAAATAACATCACAACATTAGCCTTTAGCTCAATTCTTTCTCAAGATCTTGTATTGACAATGGAAGAATCCAGCACTCTGTAAAGTCTGATTCTTCACGCTCCTTCCCAACAATTCTTTCACAATTAGAGCCTGATGAATCTTAACATTGTCATCCTGGAATATGGCCGTGATTTGTTTTCCTAAATGAAAAGCTACACACTCCATCCATTAGGGTCAAAAGAACTATTGCCAAACATACTGTATGCTAGCCTAGAAACATAATAATCATTGGAATAATAATCCAATCATAGACTCGTATGCATTTGCTAATTGAAATCCAAAGATAAATATAAACTAGTACTTACTGGGGATGATTGTGGTCTCCCCTGGCGGGGCAGTTATGGTGACGGGGATGTTGACTCCAGTTGGGCCTGCTCTGGTGCTGTTTTTTAGATTATCTGTGACTTCTGGCTTCTCATCAGTAGGAGACTGGAGAGGGCTGGTGGCTAGGCTGTCTGTTTCTGTCGGTCTGCCCCTGTAATAATTGGAAAGCTAAACATCTGAACAAAATATTATACAGCATACACAATATAACTCAAAGTGCTTACTAATGCTTTGCAAAGTATGTGCACATCAAAGCAACAATAAAATTGTAGCAACAAACGCCATGTCTGATCATTTACTCAATGTCAGTCTACTCCGAATGTACACTGCTTCAAAATGCCTCACATAAAATGATGAATAACACTGCGTTATATAACAAAATATCAAAGTAATTTCATTTATTAAAAATAAAACAGCATACTTTTCAAGAAAAACATTCTTTGTGGTAATTCGTGTGAACTTAAATGTTGGCTACTCTGCTACACCTGTGTGAATCTGAGGAGAACTGATTTCATACGTGCACAAAAAAAATCACGCACCAATGTGTAGTTTTGAGAAAAGCAAAAACAGTTTTTTTCTGCAACTTCCACTTTTAGTATTTTGTTATCTAAATGTAATGTTTCTTCTTTTTATGGCTTAAAGGGATAGTTCACCCAAAAATGACAATTATTTCATCATTTACTCACCCTTGTGTCATTCCAAACCTGTATTACTTTCTAAGAAAGAAAAGAAAGTGATGTGACGTGTGTATTCAAGTATGGTGTCCCAAATTCGGAATTTGTGCTCTGCATTTCACCCATCCAAGTGCACACACACAGCAGTGAGTATTGAAAACACACCTTGAGCAGTAGGCAGCCATATTTGCTTACTCAAGAGGACCTCGGCTGTGGGTAATGAGAGTGGAAGAGAGCGCTGTTCATTCACTCCCCCCACCTACATTTCCTGCCGGTACTGAGACTCAAACCTGCGACCTTCGGGTTACAAGTCCGACTCTCTAACCATTAGGCCACAACTTTTTCTTTTTTCCCCCCAAAGAAAGAGACAAATTTTTTGTGTTTTCTGTGCCGTCTCAGACGAGACAGGTGGGACTCGAACCCACAACCCTTAGCTCCGAAGGCGGATGCCTTATTCATTAAGGACACTGGTTTCTTTGTTCTGTGGAACATTAAAGAAGATATTTTGAAGAATGTTGATAACAAAACAGTTTTGGTTCCCATTGACTTTCATGGACGGACAAAAAAAAAATACAATGGAAGTCAAGGGGAACTGAAAATAATTGGTTACCAACAGTATTCAAAATACTTTTTTTTTGTTTTTTTGTTTCTGTGCTCTTCAGAAGAACATACAGTCGACATACAGTCTGAGAACTTACCTGCGTTTTCCACCATTCTCCCTGCATTCTTCTCCATCCAGAGTGGACTGGGCTTTAACACGAGGCCGGTGTCTCCTTCTCTCTCCATTCCCTCCTTCGCCCTCTTTGTGACCTCGAACCCTACTCTCACCCCTGCCTCCATTACCGATCGGGCCGTTTCCGTTCCCGTTGAGCTCTCTTGATCGGCGAGAATGGTGGTGTCTGTGTTCTCTCTCATCCTCAGGAGAGCCAGCCATGTGGTTCATGTGTCCCCCATCCTGACTGCTGCTGCGCTCCAGGCCGCCCTGGTGCTCTCTGTTTCGGCTGTGGTGTCTATGCTGCCGCCCGTCCCCTGCATCTCCGTTCTCTCCTCGGCATCGATGGTGCTTCTTTGTCGGTTGACACTCTCTACTGTCCCCATCTCCGTCAGTCCTGGAATTGTCCACGGTGCCGTCTCGATGTTCCACCACCAGAGGCCGATCGTGGTGGGTCTTCATGTCGGGCCGCAGATGCAGCGCAGAAGACATGTGCAGACGCTCTTCGGGCTCTAGTTCGTTGAAAAGGGCCTCGCTGCTGTTGCGCAGATTGTGTCTGCGCAGCTGGTTGGTGCGCTGCTCCCATATGGACATCTTCTGCAGTGACCTCTGCTGCTCTTTACTGAGGGACGGGAGAACATTCGCCTGAATTACACACATCAACATGTACCTACTCCGATAACACCCACATCCATGAGCCTACCACTGTCGACCACTCAAAATCACTCCGATCACAGTGAGTTTTCATGATATCATATGTCATGAGTTTGACATAAGATGACATGATTAACAGTAATGTTGTTTGCAAACAATACAGGAAGAATGGCTTTTCTTTCTAAACAAGAGTATATAATTATGCAAAGAAATTAGCCAATCATAACAGAAGAAGGCCTAATTTAAAATCTTGAAGGTACAGGAAGCTCTTAAAAAAAGTAAGTAAAGTATTAAAACTAAAGCTAAAAGTGAAATAAAAATAAAACTATAAAGAATATATTTAAAAACAAACAAAAAAAAACACATGAAATGTACAACAAATGTACAACAAAATTACTGAAACCTAAAATACGTAGCTTTACTAACTAAATAAAGTACAAAAATAAAAGATAACTTAAAATATTAACAAATACTATAAAAATATTTATCAAAACAGAGGTAATTTGCATAAAGGTAGTTCATTCATTCATAAAGGTAGGGGTGAGCGGGGCACAACCTAACACGGGGCTAGTTGTAACACAAACTTTCCACACATGCCAGCATGATGAAACTTGATGCATTTACTAGATGCTAAATCAACACTTTATAGAGAAGAAAATGCGGCAAAATTAAAAAAAAAAAAATAATTAATTAAGAAATGATCTAACCAGCAGAAAACCCTAGCCATGTTTAAATCCTGGTTGCACATATGGGACATGTTGTCACACCGCATTACAATGTGTCCCTATTGTAACTATGCTATTCCATTCTATATTTAAATTTTTTTTTTATACTTTTAGTTCTATTGAGAAACCATGAGAAAAAAAGTGAAGAAAAAAAAAACAATGTTCATTCTCAAAAATTTCTTTATTTTTAATTATATAAAAATGTTCATAATTGCATTTTATTTACAAAATATTTTAGTTTGTCTTGTATATTATTATTATTATTATTATTTTTATTAGATCAGATAGCATTTTAAGCTGTCATATGGTCATGTTACAATGTGCCCCTCGTATGTTACAATGTGCCCCACCTACGGGGCATGTTGTCACATTTCACTTCGATTTCTTTCGGGGTAAATAAAAAATGTATACACTCTATAAATGAAACAAACCCACATATTTGTACTAGATGTGTGAAATTAATGTGGGGGAAAATAAATACTCTGAATCCCAAGTTAATTTACATCAAGTGTTAGGTTGTGTCCTGCTCTCCCCTACTTTTAAAGTCACTTTTGGGTGAGCTACCCCTTTAAGAATATCAGGCTCTCAAGTATCCGAGTGGAACAGTGGTTGGCATAGATGTTTTTCTATACAGTATACAGTTTCAGTATAATAATATGTACCTCATGCTCTTTGACTCATGCATTTCACTTACGTCCAACACCAAATGCATTGTTAAGAAGAGACAAGAGACTACAGGGACTCAGAAGCCCTAATGGTGTGCTAATAGCATGTGCTAATGGTAAAAATGACTAAAATTGAACAAAAATAATAAAAGCATCCTGAGCTGTGTCACTATACCTCACAAAGCGACGACATGGAGTGTAGACATAACTCCTTTGAGACACATTCAGGGTAGCACAACACAGAAAAATGACAGACATGTTTAAGACAAACAATCACATTATATGAAAAGGTCAAGAGAGAAGGGAAGAACGAAAGAAAAACAAAAATAGACAAATGCAACAAGAAATGGGAACACACAAACAACACAAAACCTGTAGATGTCAACAAAATTTCAATGCACCAAGTGATGTTATCTGATGAAAAGTCCCATTCTATCCCTTGCATGCAGAAACATACACTCACAAACCCCAAACCCACACACTACAAAGCTCGTTGATCCAAATAGTCAGTGAAGCTTGCAGACAGCACACCCAGACTGCTCTGTTTAGCTTGGCCTTCATTCATATTGGAAAAGTTATCCGCTATCAAAAGGATAAAAAATCAAAGTGCTGCAGGCCTCTGAGCCGTCACATATATAATACATCTAAGGACAAAAGGAGACCATGTAAAGGAGGAATAACAAGATCTATCAACATCTATCAACATCTATCTATCTATCTATCTATCTATCTATCTATCTATCTATCTATCTATCTATCTATCTATCTATCTATCTATCTATCTATCCTATCTATCTATCCATCCATCCTATCTATCCATCCATCCATCCATCCATCCATCCATCCATCCATCCATCCATCCATCCATCCATCCATCCATCAAAGCAACTTTCTTGCAACAGGCTAGCAAATATTCAAACATACATAAAGCCGAAAACTTTTTTTAATACCCATTTTCTTTTTTTTCTTAATTTCAGACAACATTCTGTTATGCCAACATTCAAGGTTGTGTTGATTAAAGTGTTGATTAATTGGAATCTGTATGAAAGCATTAGTTTACTACTAAAAAGTGATGCTGTGATCAACCCCAAAATCAATGAGGTGAGCTATGAATAAAAAGACAGAAGGGAAACAATGAGAGAATTAAAGCATTGAGGAGATAGGAAGAGGAGAGGAGTATTGTAAGTGAGAGCACAACTCACGGTGAGTGAACGCTGCAGACTGAAGACCTGCGAGAGATTGCATCTCGATTTTGCTTTACAAAACTGCACATGCGAAACAAAAAAACAAAACAAAAGAATGAGACACAAACTCAACTGAAAAAAAGTGCCGAGGGAGCAGATGGCAGTCAGGGTGATGTCACTCTGTCTGCCCACCTGCCCCTGTGTGTTTCAAATACAAGACACAAACATTGGTAACACTTGAGTAAAGGACACTTTAAACACTGTACAGACTGTGGCCATGGAGAAACTTTAAAAATGCATGAAACAGTTATTATGAAATTATTTTCGAAATAAATCACAGTTTGACATTCTGGCCCTCCACTTCAGTGTCACCAAAATGTAAAGCTAATAATACATGTGTTAAAAACAACTCAGACGAAATTAAAGATATTAACAATAAACAAGCTGCATTACAGAAATGTACAGTTGGCAGTTTTGTAAATTTGATTCAATGTGATCAAATGCAATGTGGATTATAATTAGTTTTGTTAAGAAATATTGAGGTGACAATTGTAAAGTACTAACATCATGAGCTCTGTGAACAGAAAAAAATGGTTACACACATGAAAACAAATGTAGGCTAAATGAAAGTAGCACAAGACAACCATTGAGACTGTTTTTGTTTTCTAGGAACCTACAGCAGATTGGCATTACTCAGTATTCACTTGTATAGAAGAGGATGATTTGTTTAGATTTAGTTTAGATTTATGTTTAGTTTCTCTTATAGGTAAAATCTTAGAAACGTTTAACAAAGAAATATAGCCTACTAAATAATATAAAACATATTGCATATTCTTTAGAGTTATTAGTAAATTATATAATTACACAATATATTTTTTAAATCATAATCATGTCTATGATAATCCTATTTATTTATTTATTTATTTCACTATTTAAGTCACAATTAAATAGTGAAATAAGCAAACCACTTGAAATTATATTCTAGAAAATGGTAAACTTTTACATAAATCATGTTGTGGATTCGTAATCAACTTTCTTGTTTGCAAAGTAAACGGGCATGAAATGACGTAATAGTGAGTACTTAAGATAATATAAAACGCCTTAGCAAGACAAATGAGTCGACCACTTTCTGATTGATGTAATGAGAGTGTGAAGGGGCCAAAAGTGCTCTTAGTTGAAGAAACACACTAATTCCACTCCTAATTTCCTTAAACTACAAAATGTTTTAGGTTTATTTACCTCGCAGAAGCTTTCGGCAAAAATGTGCATATGTAAAAAAAAAAACATATGGCACCATAATAACTATCTCTGCAGATGTCAAATAATTAACATTCTAATATACTGTAGCTTTGAAACACCAACACACTTATGAAGAACAGACTACACAGAGCAGGTTTAAAGGGGAGGCCAGGGTCACACTGACATTGACTAAACAAACAATCAAGCAATCACAAAAAATTTAACAGAGAAGTAACAAACAACAGCTACACTGCACATTATAGGAAAAACTCCATAGGGCAAAGTTGGACACAAAAAAAAAATCAGGAAACAAGAATTAAAAAAGCAACGGGTAAGTAACACAGACACTTACGCTGCTATTGAGATGTTGGCAGCAGACATGGGGCTGACCTCCTTCACCTCCATGGCCTTCTGAAGAGCCAAGCTCTTCTTCGCTGCCTCCTCTTGTTGCTCTTCATCCTAAATTCAAGGACATTGCAGAAATGAAAGATCAGGATAAAAGAAACATACTGCCTCCTCAGGGTGTCTTCATACAGTAAATCAGGTGACATACAGATATAGGGAGATTACTTTCAGATTACCTTTGTCAGCTCCTGTGCATTGGCCAGGTTATCCACGGCAATGGCCAAGAATACATTGAGAAGCGTGTCTGGTTGTTATCAGGTTAGAGAATTGTCTGTATTTCATATTGCATTTCAATTAAAGGAATAGTTCACCCAAAAATGACAATTCTGTCATCATTTACACACCCTCAAGTTGTTCCAAACCTGTATACATTTATTTGTTTTGCTGAACACCAAAAAATATATTTTGAAGAATGTTAATGTTAATGTTATGTTAATGGCCTTAGATCTGCTTGGTTACAAACACTCTTCCAAAAATCTTCCTTTATGTTCTCTTACGAGAGGTTCTCTCGTACTGCGTAAGCTAGATTACGCTACGGCTACGCAATCTTTCTCGTAGCATAAGCTAGTTTACGCAACACTCGTTCCCTCATCTAGAGAGAACCGAGGTTACGTTAGGTAATTCGATTCGATATTCATATACAGTAGGTTTGGAACAATTTACAAGTGTGTAAACAATGACACAATTTTTATTTTTGGGTGAACTATCCCTTTAACATACATTAGATTTGCATTGAGACAGGTTATATTTTTACATTTATTCAATAATTTCAAGAAATTAATTGTATGAATTTGAGTAAAATCTTTTTTTTTTTTCATGAAAACATATAAAACATTTTTATTTCTCAAATGCCTCTTGGAATATTTACTGTGAGATTTTCCGTATGCAGAACTTTTTAATGTAGATTGATTAAAAGTCTTTTTATCTAAACCAGACGCAACTCCGTGACATGTGATAAAAGGTATGAGACCTTTCATCCAAACCAGCTGCGATAGAGATACATGAAAAGCAACAGGGGATTCTATTTTAGAAACAGTTTCTATTTATGTGCCGTCACGGCTGAAACACCAAAGAATAATAATCTCAGGTACTGATTATGTGCTTTAATTAATGTTAATATTATTTATCATGAGTTAGAATCATTTCGTGATGATGGATAACTCACCTCTACCCAAGTAAAAAAAAAAACACAACAATTGTGAACTCAATGTGAACAAATGAGTGTATTCTATAAGACAAAGTTTGATTTAGTCACTCAGTATGTATTTTTAATCATGTTCAAATGGTGTAATATCTATAAATTTGATTGTGTACTTGTGTCGCTTGCAAAGAGAGCACTACTTATACGCTCTTCTGATTGGCTGTGATTGATTTGTCATGTCTCAAAGTTGTGTCGCTTCTTTTGAGGACAAACAAATTGCTTGTCGCTGAAATCTTATTGCGTCGTGGTTTGTACATACTGTGATGCTGAATATTCAAACATCTGAACATATGTAGGACAGGATACAGTTTCCAAAAAGCGTAAGAACAATGAAGTAGACCGAGGAGAACATTCCACTCCGGACACCACCCTGGGACTCGATGCCATGATACATCACAGCGTTCCAATCCTCTCCTGTCAAAATCTGCAAGAGGCATAAACAGGTCAAGCACACCAAACAGCCTTATAGTTTTATATAAACACATTAAACATTCATGAGGCCAAAATAAAATAAAGTATACCTGGAAGACTGTCATTATGGCTGCAGGGAAGCTGTCAAAGTTTGTAGTGGGTGTTTCGACTTCAAAATTAAACCTAGTTGGGAAGAGAGAGAGAGAGAGCTTCAGCGCACTTGGTGTAAAAAGGCTTCAGAGGTACACTGAAGATTTTGATGTCAGTTCTGGTTTGCTTTAATTTGGTTTAGCAATGCAGGGCTGTCAAAACAAACTTACTGAGTTACTAGGATCAAAATTCAGTTTTATCATCATGAGCGTGGCACTTATCAGTAATTTGTCGACTTTAATCTGAGGAACAAGTTGTATCAGAATAAGTTATACTCAAATGAGACATGGCTAGTGTTATTTCAGTTTGTTTTATTCACCCTCTGAATGAAAACACAGATTTTCCAAACCCTAAAACTGTCCCCACAGAGACTCATCTTGACACCCGTAAAACACAACCAACATTCTGGTGAAGCTAAATAAAATAGAGACAAAAATGCCACCATTTCTGAAATGCTACATGTAAGGCAAGACATATCTGTCCCTGTCTCTAATGAAATCAACTAGAGGATCAGTTTTCCTATTTTGTCATTTATCCCTGCCATTCTCTTCCTCCTTCCAGTTTTTTATTTTTAGACTTTTAAAGATCTCTTTTCAGCCCTGCCTTCGAATCGCCTTTCAGGGTCTGGCAAATACAAGATCACAGCGGTGACTCATCCATTCATAAAGGAGATTCAGAGCACGCTTGCTTCACAACAGAGAATTATTGCGGAAGGGATATACAATCCAGTCCTGGCTTGTCGTGGGATGTGTGCGTTAGCTTTACATTGTAAACACAAAGAGGTTTCCAACAGAAGCTGCAGTAGATGCATTTTTATTGCATTCTCTGTTCATGTGAATAAGAAGCTTAGAATATGCTTGATTAATGATTACACAGAATTTTGTAAATGCAGAAGGGATTTTGTAATTGCTGGGGAAGCATCGAATGGTTTTGTATTTCATGCCTACACATGCAAAAACTTAATTTCTTCATAGACCAAACCTGAGCGAGCTTGAGTTTCAGGGCCCTCAGGGCCCTCGCACCTAAAGACGACAAAAACTGGATGAAAACGTTGACAGAGGCTCATTTGACAGGATGTTCTGCTGGAGGGAAAATCTCAAATACTTCATTGCAGTCTGATTTTCATAAGCAACTGAAAACTAAATCTAAAAGTCGGTTATATCATCCGCAGACATACTTGTCTGAAACACTAGGAATAAAACAAGCACTTCACTCAGAGTGTTTTAGCAAGCACAGACAGGGTCAAGAAACTCAATGAGCAAAGACTAAATTAGAAAGTCTCTTCAAACCAATCAAATGTTTATGCTTGTACTCTGCAATCCCTTCCAAAACTCCAGCGCTTTCACTGGTAATCTGCATGACGGGACCTCAAAAACACAGTCAACAAACACAGCCAGGTGAGTTAATACGATCAGTCCCGTCAGGCATTACACCCTGATTACATGTATACTGACGTCACAACACGCATTGGGACGACAACCTATCAGAACACACCATCATGAATGAAGATTATAAATGCTGTATGTGTCAAATTAAAAATAGGTCTACCAGTGCATGTGAGCTTTATTTAGAAGGGCAGAGTGACTCATGGGTACGATTTCCCATCTGACTCTTAAATATACATTTCTTCCCTTTCCGACACACAGTCTGGCTGCGATTACAAATGGCCATTCACACAGAACGCGTTCTTGCGTTAAAAACAGCTTGATGGAGCACAACTGTACTAAAAAGAAGCCATGTTTAAGTGTGTGAACACACATGATCTATTGCTAACAATAATACACAATATCACTAAACTGGAGATGTTCAGATTCATTTGATTGGATCATTTTTTTAAAACTGACAATGACCCGTTGTGCACAAGAGGTCAAGGTTTGGCTGGTTAAAATAAAAAAATAAATTAAAAAAATAAATAATAATAAAAAAAAAAAATAAATAAAATAAATAAATAAAATAAAATAAATAAAATAGAAAAAAATAAAAAAAATAAAATAAAAAAATTGAAAAAAAAATTTAAATAACATTTGAAAAAAAATAAAAAATAATGAAATAAAATAAAAAAAATAATAAATTAAAAAATAAATAAATAAATAAATAAATAAATAAAGCAGCCCAATGTAATAAAAGAGGGAAAGAAAGTGGAAGGCCATGACTAAAGCTTTCATTCATCAAGCTTGTTGTCAGCGAGGTGTCTTTCGTTAAAGCAAGCAGACACAGTGAATAATCAGCTCAAGTAATTATTTGAGGGTAGAAATCTAAATCCTTGTTGGCAAGGCGTATCACTCCCTCGGCTCACAAGAGTTGGCATGAGGGCATAGGAAGTATAGTAAAGAAGGGACTGGATGATGAATGGATGGACTGAAATTTTGACATAAAATGCATTTGTAAAATTTAATTGATGCGAGATGGCAACAGAAGAAAATGAATGAACTACTTAAAATTGAAGGAAAGTAGCTAGGTAAGTGCGCATCCAGTGGATTCTTAGGTGAACGTAAAGGTTAGCGTACAGTGCGTGTGACTCGAATTTCGTCATCAGAAGTGCACACGTGTTTTTTGGCAGTATTCCAATAGGTTGTAACTCGTGCCAAGAGATTGCTCTAAACTGTGAATGCGTCAAACACCTGTGTAGGCGTTTAAGTCAAAGGAAGAATACTTTGCAAGGCTGTACCATGATGAGGCCATGGGAGAGGATACTGTATGTGAATAGCGGTCAAGTAACACAACTGACGCTGGTAGATCACATGACAATAACAACATGATGTAGAACGTTGGGATTACATTCTGCACACATTCACACTATATAGAATATACTTTTTTGAAAAATAAATACTTGTACAAAAGAAGTAGAGAGTATGCAGTTTGGGATCCAGACAGTGTCCAGGAAGAAAATTCAAATGAATCCAGAGCTAACAGCTCAAACTTGAGACTGACTATTAAAACATACCGAAACTGCACTTGACAGCAGGACACATTTTTACAAGGCCATTACATAAATGAGATTGCACAATTAAGCACATGTTGTGACCAGTTTTGTTCATGGATGAGGCAGAAGGAGCCTTAGGCTGATTTCAGTCTGACAGAAGACACATCAAACACGCCGTCAGGCTTTAGATCAACTCCAGAAAACAGATCTGAAGCAGATGCCACAGGGATATTACAGAAACTTCTCTTAGAGCGTCATGGTAGGCCTGCTGTGGTCATAAGGTTGCATTCAGACTTGCAATTCCAACATCTGAGACAGTTACTTTTTGATTGTAGTTATGTTTGTAGTTATGTATGTTTGCTAATTGTTTGGTGGATTATATTGGACAAGATGTGGAATACTTTTTTTTTTTTTTTTTTTTTTTTCCAACAGAACATATTCTGGGGTGAAATTGGACATAAATGGCTAGAATGATGGAGGATCATTTCAGAAATCACTCACTGGCCCCCGAAAAGCTGCATGCCTAGCAGAGCAAACACCACGATGAAGAGGAAGAGGAGGAAGAGCAAGCTTATGATGGACTTCATGGAGTTTAAAAGTGAAACCACCAGATTACGCAAAGAGTTCCAATACCTGCAAAGAGAGAGAAAGAGTGAGGATGAACGTATAGATCACAACATAAGTCTCTGATCACTTTAAGAAATGCTGGTTTCAGAGTGTAAAAAATCTAAATAAATAAATAATAAAAAAAGAACCATCCTATGATTCCTTAAAGGGGTTTGTTAGATTGTGATAGAAGTATACTGTATATAAACACATTTCTTGTCTACTTACTTGGTAACTTTAAAGATACGGAGCAGACGCAGGGCTCTCAGAACACTGATCCCAAAAGACGCACCAGGCTGGATTGCTGCTGCCCACACCACCTCAAATATACTGCCCACAATTACCTGAGAATAGAAAATTGAAAGACTCTTTCAGTTATATGGGTTTATTTTTTGTAGCATCTCATTTAAGTGAGCAGATGGCAATTATTAAAATAGTCTAGTTTAGAAAACAAATAAACTATAATGAGTGAATGTGAATAAAATGGCTCAGAACATGCATGTGGCAATACAGCGTGGACACAAGTATCACAGCGGCTGATAATGACTGACTAGATGCAGCCTCACAGGCTCGTCTGAATCATGTGTGCTGTGACTCACCCCAAAGTCAAAACAGTTGAACGAGGAGTGAAAGTAGTTTCTGGGCCCCAGGCCGTACATCTTCAGAGTCATCTCTGTCAGAAACAGACCCAGGAATACAAACTCTGCCAGGTCTAACAGCCCATAGAAATGAAAGGAGAGATTAGGTTATCCATCAAAACCCAAGCTTTTCCCACAAAAACCTTCAAAAATAATGCGATTACAAAGTAGAGCTGGGCAACGAAGCTAAAAGAAATAAAATACCAATATTTTTTAGCATTTTGACAATCTTCAATAAATACTTTTATTAAAAACATTTAAATTAAATAAATTAAATATATGCATTTAAATATATTTATAACTCAATTTTTATTTTAAGTTGTTAAGATTTTTTTCAATCAGAGGATCAATCATTTAAGCAAAACGGTAAATTAAATGTTATTATCATTGTATTATTTAATATATTTTTTTATTTTATTATAATTTAACAATACACAATAATTCAATATTTCTTCTACAACATTTTTATATACACGGTGTTGTTATTGTTAGCTACAATAATGTAGTTTTGGTAATTAAAATAAGGAAAAATGAGTATACATATTAAATGAAAAACTAAAATTGGAAATGTTGCTTTGGCAACAAACTGAAATCAATGTTTAATACAATAAAAATACATAAGTAATAAAATTACAAAAAATAAAAAACTGAAATAAAAATAAATTAAAAGTAAATCTAAATATTTAAAAAAAATGAAAATGGACAATACAGAAATATTGGCTAATTCAAGTAAATAATAATATTAATAACACAGATTGCATGAAAAATGCCACAGGCATTAAGTGATTATTCTGAATCCTAGCTTTGAATTAATTAATTAAAACAAGCTGCTTTATAGAAATGAATGAAATTTATCAAGTCCTGATAGATGCTACAACTGTAACAGATGTCATTAAAACATATGTCTCAAAACTTTCAGGTTAATAAGTCGTGACTCGTGACACACAAAGCAAATAGAGATTGCAAAACTAGTCTAATAAATGTTGTTTAGGAAACTAAATAGCTCAAAAATTCAAATAATCAAATAATGTGAAGTTGACACAGTTCAATTGAATTTGCTAGTGAACAGAAAGCAAGCGCTCTTACACAAGGCCTTGGTGAGCCCATCAGGCTGGTCGTAATGGACCATAGCCACACACATCGTGTTCAATCCCACCAAGCAGAGAACGATCCAGTAGAAACTCTGTGCCTTCACCATCCGCCGGATAAAAAAGCGAATCCTCTTTTCCTTTCGACGGAAGTACGAGGAGCTATCGTTCTTACTGCTCTTCAGGCTAGCTCGGGCGAAAGGTGATCCAGGTGGCGCTAGAGAGATTAAAAAAACATTCAAAAACAAATTAGATACTTAAACTCTGATCACAGAGCTACTAATGTAAATTCATATTTAATGTAACTCTGAATAATACATGCAATAATATAAACGGCATTTTGTTGAGATCAGTAGCATTGGATTTGTTATTCATCATAGTGTTAGGCTGAGACACTTAAGTGTTTAAGATTATAAATCATTCTATAAGCTTTTTAAATCTAAAAACAGAAGAGATCAGTACTAATGCACAGCAGAAGTCACATGATCCTGCTTTCCCTTCTCCATTTTACCCTCTTCAGCTAATGGGCACATTCAAGCTAGTCTGAGAAACTCTGTAGAGGTTTCAGTTCACTGTTTATCAAGGGAAGTGATTTCTTTGCTTTTAGCTGACTATTAATATCCTTCTATACTAGATATATAAAATAAAATCAATTGAACAAATTCTATTCTAATGCTATATTGGAGAAAAAATTGATGCAGAATATGAAAAAAAAATTAACATTTGGCTTAGCCAAAAGGGGTCATGCATCACAGTAATTGATAATGAGAGTTTCTTAAGGTTAAAGGTCAAAGCTCACCGACAGAAGATATGTCTGTGAAATGTTCCTCTCCTTCTTCAGCACTGATGAGGTCGTTTCTACCCTTTCTGGTCTTTGTTCTTTTCAGGACTGAACACAAAAAATGCATAAGCATGCAAATACATGAACACGAACTTTATGATAGAGTTCAAAGAAAAATTGAATTCCTAATCAGATGTTGTAACAATAATACATCTGGAAAACAATCATTTTACTTGTCTGTAAAAACAATGTAATGTCTTAATTTTTCATTAATTGAATGATATTATACTTATTATATACGCTTCATATGAGTGTCTAGCTATAGTGAGAAATGTGTACATTACAGGCCTGATCTTGCAGTGACTCTTTAGTCATGTGAAAACACAATCCTGGGTTCCCGCCACTCTCACACTTTTACTTTCTCTCTATCTACTGTATCTATCCAGTCTTCTCTAAATGCATAGATCCAGTCGACACCACTAATTACAGTTCAAGAAGGAAACATAGCCCTCTGCCTGATAGTGAAAACAGTGAAGATAGAAAACTAACATATGCAATGACATTCTGTTGTAAGATGGGCAAAGCTATACAATCACAACTTTACCTGATTTACTATTTGATTAATATTTCTTGTCAGCTCAATAATTACAACAGGCTAACTGGCAACTAAACATCAAAAACAGCATTACCTGTATTTTGAAAATAGTTGAACTAATGTCATGCTGCAGAAAATTTACCCAGGTTAATAGCAATCCTACTTAGCTAGTCTTAGCTACTTACACAAAATGTATGTGTGTACATGGGTGTAATCCAATTACCACAGTTGTTTTAATCCCTGTAATTACTCCTGGCTTCCAAAACAGACAAAATTGACAGAGATTGTGGGCCTTGATAAAACAGAGTATGCGAGTAGAAAAAGTAGCTCGCAGTGTGAATAAAGGCAATATGGCATTTAGGATAAATAAAACAAATATTTTCTTTCCTGTCTTCACATATTTCCTCATGAAACTGGACATTTAACTGGTTTTAGGAGTATTTTAGCAAACAATACACATGGACATTTATTAACATTTATTCTTGTATCTGTAGGTCATCTGTAGGTGATCAATTCACTTATCACTGTGCCCAGGTGAAAAGATTGAAATCTAAACTCAGATTCCCAAAAACTCAGATTCCCCAAAGCCTTTTCGCCCCATAACAGAGCAAAAGAATGGTCACATATGATGGCATTCCTTCCACTGACCTGGTTTATCATAGAATACTATGGTAAACCAGCCCCATTGACCCTTGCCCAGTGCTTAATTTGAACCGGTTCCTGTTCTAGAAAATGTCAGAATTGGGATTTTTGTTGCGTTCATACATCGTTTTTAAACTATCCGACATAAATCATGATGAGGCATGAAACAAGTATGAGGCATGAAACAAGCATTTTCAGTTCATTTCTATGGACATTGAGCTACACGCAAATGTATTTGGAGTTTATGTTTTGCTATTGGACCTCAGCATATATATATATGATCAGCTTTCTTAAGTTCAAAATCACTATCATTGGTTGTTTTTACAGCTCATTGTTTTGGATGCAAAAGCATAAAGTTTGGAGAGTAGAATGACATTTGGAGAGAGTGTTTATATCTGATGAATTATTCTAATATAAATAAGTTAAAATCACCAAAATGTCAAAAAGACAGCAAAGCTTATTTTTATTTTCCATATCCTAAAGCTGGTAGCGTTTCTGATCAAAAGAGATTCCGAAGATGGAAGTGCTAATAATATTCAGGATAGCAGGAGACACGAGCAACGGAAGTTAGATCAGTAGAATCAGAAATCGATGTAGTGGAAAAGGCAACAGCGTCATCCGTGAGAGAATATCACTGATCAACTGAATAATATTATCTCTCAACAAAGCTATATACAAGACATAATAATACACTAGGCTGTGGTAGGGCTGTGCAGAAACTAGTGAATGATGCTCTTACAGATGTGTCAGTGCCAGGCACAGTGCATTTTAATTGCTGTTTTGGATCCGGCAATTATTTATTTACAAATTAAGCACTGCCCTTGCCCTCTTTTCACCTGGGTTGTTTTGTTTCCTCCTGTACCACGCACCATCCAAAGGGGATTTCTCCTCAGCATTCTGATCCTCCTCTGCTAGCAACACCTCCTCTGGAATGAACAAATATAAGTAAGAAAATCAGTGAAACACACTCTTAGAGTACATACACTCAATATACAAAGAATTAAGGTCCATTCTCACCAGTACTTTACAGATGACTAAATGATACTAAAAGTTTTGCACTACAACTATTCAGATGCCGTACTTTCTTTTAAATATATAAGAATATATTAGACTTTATCTGAAGTACTTTACAGAGATGCAGTTTTAATTTGTCTATTAGTCTAATTTGACTAATTTGTCTTATTAGCTTTGAAAAATTCAGGCTTGGTACGAATAGGGTTGTATTCAAAAATTACATATTTCTATGTATTGTTGTGAAGTGTTGAATGGAAATCCAATGACATAGCATAGAAAGGTCACATTTATACCAACCTGCCTTGCAGATCCACTCCAGGTATCCAGTGAGCTCTCTCTCAATCTGCTGCTGTCTGCGGAGCTTCAAGAACTCCTGCCTCTTCTCCACTCGCTCTCTTTCTTTGGCAAACTCCCTAAGACCAAACACAAATTCTTAGACAATTTTACGAGTGTGTTGTGTTGGAAAGCCCATCTTACTTTAGGTAACATCTCTTAAATAATTTTATTTTGTGTTTCTCAAACTGTTCCAAGAGTCTCACTGTCTCACTTTGATTGTCTCACTATCATGACACACACAAAAAAGTAGTTATATCCTGAATAAAGTTAAACATTACATTAGTGTTCCTATTTCATCTTTAAGGGGCAGGTATTTGTTTGGCACAGGACTTTCCAGGAGCAGGAAGTTCTTTTTATTTTCCCTAGCACTGAAGCAGTTTTTTTTAAAGACCTGGCAACTCATATACTGTTGACTCATACTCATACTGAATATGAGGAAGTAGAGCCTTTCATTTTTCAGTTTAAGCTGCTACACGGTACACGCAAAAGGTAAGACATATTTGCATTTGACTCGAATCAAAACTAATATACAAGTCTCTAGGAACTTAAATCATGAAGTTAAAGAAACGTACAGCTAAACACTTATTCCTGTGAAGTTTGAGGTTCCATGTAAAATATCAATACAACTTATAATGGACATAAGTTAGTGAGAAAATTGACATTAACATTATGTTACCATATTATTAATATACATAAAACAGCGAACATGATTGTTTGAGTAAGTTATATGTAAATAATCAATGCCATTACTTAGCAATCAAGAAATGAAAGATGTCAGAACAAAGGACACAGGAACCCTCAAAGCAGAATCTCCCAAGCAGTAAGTTATCTTTCTTTTAGATCATGCCTACAATTAACTTTAACAAATTATATTTGAATTCACCTTTTTGACAGTTCCAATTTATAATTATTTTAAACTATTTTTTTAGACAAAGGATTGCCTGAAATTAGAATTATACTGATTGGGGGTCGCCAACTGGGTGGAATAGAATCAAGTGGAAAAAGTTCCGTAGGAAACACCATCCTGGGAAAAAATGCTTTTGTTGTGGGAAGAAGAACTGCCCGATCTGTTCAAGCTGAGGGAGAAGTACATGGAAGACATGTTACTGTGGTTGACACCCCAGGCTGGTGGTGGCATTATGCTGGAGAAAATACTCCAACGTTTGACATACAGGAAATTATAAGGTGCCCAACACTGTGTCCCCCTGGACCTCACGCATTCCTTCTGGTCATTCCTGTAGATAATATATTTCCAAAAGTCTATAGAATGGCTTTGAATGAACATTTGGAGTTTTTGTCAGAGAATGTCTGGAAACACCTTATTGTGCTCTTTAGCTGCATTGCTCCATTTGATGAAAGATCTTTCAAAAAGAATCTTAGAATCTGGCCAGACCTCCAATTACTTCTAAGAAGGTGTCAGAACAGGTATCATGTCCTTAATATTCAAGACAGGAATGACAGCTCTCAAGTGATCAAACTGCTGAAACAAATTGAGGAAATGGTAGCCCAAAACAATTACTTTAAATTCAGCGAAAGGATGTCTATAGAGGGTGAGAGAGAGAAAATAAGAAAGGAAAAAGTCAAACAAAGAATTATTGCAGTCAATAGTCAAAGGATTGAACTCCAAGCATCCATAAAAGGTAAGAAAATACAACATTCTAAAGATAGGCCCAAAATTATTACTTTAAAAACATGATTACATTACATTGTTACATTTTATGGAAAGTAATGCTAGATAAGTGGGAAACTCTTCCAACAATTGCTCAAATATTTTACCTTCAGTACAAATATGACTGACTGTATCAGTCATAACATAGTACATGTAAACGAAAGAAAAAAAATACTGATGCAATTTTAGTCCTGAATTAAAACTATTTTTTTAATAAATTGTTGCAGTTTTTGATTTTGATTTGAATTTGATATAAAAACAAAAACTATTTTTTATAAAGTGTACATATTATATAACATGGAGTCAGCTATAAATTTGTTCCCTTTTTTAGCTGAGGAACAATATCTTACTGATATACAGATAGTAATTCTTGGAGCATCGTGGGCTGCAAGGAGTTCTGCAGGCAACCTCATTCTGGGTGAAGAAGCTTTTCAAGTTGACGATTCAAGAACAACAGTGTGCTGTGAGGTTAGGCATGCTGAAGTGCATGGAAGACACCTGACTATAGTCGATACTCCAGGCTGGTTCTGGCAATATCCTCTCGAAAAGACATCAGAGATTGACAAACTGGAGATAAGACGTAGTGTGCATCTATGTTCTCCTGGCCCACATGCTATTCTGTTAACTGTTCCCGTTGCCACAGCATTTAATACATTTTATCGAACAGCTGTGGAGGAACACCTGGGTCTTTTAGGGAAGGATGTGTGGAGCCATACAATTGTGCTGTTCACCAGAGGAGACTGGCTTGGGGATACAACCATTGAGGAACGTATTGAAGAAGAAGAGCACCTTGAGTGGCTAATGGAACAATGTGGGTACAGATACCATGTATTTAACTGTAAGAATCACACTGACAGCACACAAGCCACAGAACTCCTAAAGAAGATTGAGGAAATGGTGATGGAAAACAAAGGTTGTCACTATGTGCCAGATGAGAAGAGCAATCCATTCAACGAGCTTGAGCTAAAGCTGAAGAAAGGCAAAAAAGACATGAAGAAATGGCGTAGACAAAAATACATGCTTCACAAGCTGCTTAAAGGTAAAAGTTATATTTACAAAAGTGTAACAATGCAAGACATTCTTTGTAGATAAAAACACATATCATTTCATTCTCATTAACAGAAAGAAAAAGAAAACTCTCAGAAGTTAGGATTGTGCTTCTTGGAGGAGAAGGAGTTGGAAAAAGTACATCAGGAAACGAGATTTTGCAAGAAGGATTTTTTGACATTACACTAGAGGATGTACTTAACATTTATCATTTTTTATACCAAATTCTAAATTATTATAATCGTATAATTCTTGTACACCTGCTGAACATCATTGCTACATTATTTATATTCTGTCTAGGGATTTAAACCCCATCCAAAGGCAAAGCAATGTGTGATTAAACAAAGGGAAGTTGCAGAATGTCAAATCTCAGTGGTTGACACACCAGGATGGTCAACATCAAATCTGGAAGATGCAAAAGAAATTCTACGCAGTGTGACTGTTTGTTCACCAGGTCCGCATGCATTCCTGCTAGTGCTACCAGTAGATAAGACTTTTACAAAAAAAGATGAAAAAACAATGATGGAGTTAATGAGCCTTTTTGGGGAGCATGTCTGGAGATATACTCTAATTATATTCTCTGGACACTGGCTGAAGGACACACCAGTTGAGCATTACATTGCATGTGAAGGAGAAGCCCTGCAGACTTTGATAAGAAAGTGTGAGTACAGATATCATGTGCTAGCTGATAACAGTCATAACATCAAAAATCTGCTTAAGATGATTGAAGAGATGGTGGCAAGAAACAGAGGGGAATACTTTACTCAACAAAACAGAGAAAAAAAGGCAACAACATCAGTGATCCAATGGTTTACTGGGAAGGTACTGACTGAAGAAGAGTGGAAAAAACGTGAGGATGAACTCATCGCGAGGATGCTGGAAGCAGCAGTTGTGGACCTAGATGCAGAATCCGAACAACCATCTGGCAGACGAAGGCAAAGCTTTGACAAAGCGATCCCTAGTAGTAAGTTTCTGTTTATCTAGTCCCACTAGAATGTATAATATTACACATCTGTGCAATAAATAGTAAGTTTGTCAACATGTGTGTGTTAAATTGTGTAATCAAATATGTTTAATTCTACTGTTAAAACAAACATATGTCAATTTTATTTTAATTCTATGCGTATACCCTATTGGTCAAAGGTTTGGAATAATTTAGATTGTTTTAATGTTGCTAAAAAAGTCTATTTTGCTCTTATGCATGTCAACAAACGTCTTGAATTAAATTAATGTGTATCAGCAAATATTAGAGATATGCATGTAAAACAAATATCCAACAAAAAAGAAAATGAACCTAACCTTAACATGTATTGTATTTTCAGTGAGTGGAGATTCATTGTCAGACACCACCAGTTCAGTTGGAGCTAATACTCTGAACCCTACTGACAAAGTATCTCAATGGCTCCGGCATCTAAGAAATAATGCACCATCATCTGGATATGACACAATGAGCATTGCATCAAGTTCTCAGCATTCAAACATGGAAAGAATCAAAGATATTTTTGCAATGGTCCAAAACCATCCTGGTGACATGGACACTCCAAAATATGCAAGGAATATGAGAGAAGAAAAACGTGCTAGATCGTTTTCAATGTGAAGAGTCAATGTTCTCTACAACCCAAACTATGCACATACTGTATATAATGTAATCTAACAATGACTGGATGTAATTAATTACCGAAGAACTTATGTCAACATAACTAAGTGAGTCTACTGTCTGTTGTGTTGTTCATTCAAAACATTGCAGAAATAAAGAGACTCAATGCCGAGAAAACCAAGCTGTTTCCACAGAATCCATTTTCTGTGCTGCTTTCCATTGTTTTCTATGTAAAGATGTACTAGACGGACATCTTTGACTGTTGCACTTGTGTCTCGATTTTTGAGACTTTGTGGGGGCGGTTCCCATTCTACTTCATGTTTTTAAATGCAAGAAAGTACTTGTACTATGTATAAATACACAATGTTGTTTTGTTCATAATTGTTTATGCAATTTCAGAAATTATATTTGATGTATAAACGTTAGTTTAAACGTTATGCAATTTTTTTAAACATATTATTGCATTGCTTTGAATAAACAATTGAATGCTGTACATAAATATTTTGCTCATTGCACCTTCTTGTCTCAGGAGACAAGCCAAAAGCTTACTGAAAATATACCCTTTAAATTCTCAAATAATTTGAATATAACTAATATTAAAGTATAAAATTCCAGTTTATTCTGACAGCCCTACTGTAACTATATTTGTAGAATTACAGTCCAATTTTGTCCATAATGAGAGTATGCAAGAATAAATGTCAAATATGATATGAATTTCACTTTCAGTCCACAGAGCATGTGATCAAAAAACTTGAACTTTAGAACTAACTTGCAACAGTTTTTGTGACCACCATATAACTTACAACTTACCCTGATAAGACACCCAGGACAAGGTTAAGCATGAAGAAGGAGCCAATGATGATGAGAGGGATGAAGTACAGCCAGTTCCAGGTGTTCCCAGAGGCATCATTGGCCTGTGCATAAACAAATAAAGCAATAGATGTTACAGTAGAGCCTTTACACAACCCATTCACACCAACAATTAAGAAATTCCCAAGCTCATTGCAAATAAAAGTTATATCAACATTGTGTGCAGTATGCATGTACAATAAAATACATCTAAGACTACAACTATGCAAAGCATTTTGAGTATAATCATTCTCATGGTTTGAGAATGTAATGCTAAATAAATTAAAGGTGCAGTGTGTAGATTTTAGCCGCATCTAGCGATTTAGTTGCAAGTTGCATTAATGGCTTAGCCCACTGCTCACCCCTCCCTTTCGAAGCTATGCTTGCCAAACGGGACAAATATTTCATCGTCTGAAACAGCAGAGAATAGCCAGAGTAAGCCAAGTTTCTGTACCACAGTCCATTATAAACCACATCATGGATAAAGTTTACAAAGCCATAGTCAGGTGAGGATCAAGGCTCTTAATATATAATAATAGTAATCAGCTGATTGTCTCACAAACATAACCAGCACAGGGCTGGGGCTGAGCTGGTTAAACCGTAAAGCGTTGTTTATACTCGACGTGTCAAAGGTCCGTGCGACAAAAATGACGTGATTGTAACAGTGTGCGCGCCTCCGAATTCCCTAGACACCATTTACTACACACAAATTAATAAATAATAATGAATACAGATTGTTCTTTTTCTCTGGTTTTGAAACTTCTTGGCGATTGACTTAAAATGCTTCCAAGATCGACTTGTGACTCCTGTAACGTTACTGTTTTACGGTATAGTACTTAATAGTACTAATCAGCTGATAGTCAAAGCCATAACACAGCAAGGGAGAAGAACTTTTACATGAAACAATCCAACTACATATTTTACACCACTAACAAGGGAAAAGTCACTACTCACAGTGTCTATGGCTAGCTTTTAGTTTTCTGCGGCTTCTCTTTCAAGGTATAGAGATGAAACGCACGCTGTAGCATTGTTTGTTCGTGTTCGGCTATGGTAGAAACATGACGTCACAATATGTCGACCTTCATAGAAGAGGGTGTCCGCGGTTATGTAGATATAAATGTCTCATTATAAGGTAATAAAAACATAACGGTTCATTGAGTAAGGTCTTTATACACCACTGAACACATTATGGATCTTATATTGCATTTCTGTCACTAGATCCTCAGAAATATTACACATTGCACCTTTAAGTGTAATGACTAAGTTTTTAAGTCAAATCCACTCCCATAAGTGACTCTGCTATAACCTGCTATATCTTACACTTCCCTTTGTATCTGAGGCAAGAAATAGAGATAAAATACCATAAATATGTATACATTTATATTAAAAAATAAAATATATTAAAATTATTTGAATACTCAAACCATACCATTCAATGAACCAATGTTAATAACTGTTCCTGCTTTAAATCTCTTAAATAACATCCCCATGGGACATTTCACAGACATCAAAGCAACATGGATCAATTTTGCCCTCTCTATAATAGCACTGCTGTTAATGCCATTGATTGTGTATCTCATAACACAACCCCCATAGGTGAGATATAAGGCACTAGTGAGACTGCTTAATGCTGCTTAATAAACACCAAAGCAAGTGGGAGATCAAAAACAAGATAAATAATTAATGAACAGATAAATTATGCAGCCAAAAAAAGCACAAGGTATAGATTAGCTCAGTGATGGACTATGCCAATCACACACTGTAAAAATACTCTCAGTAATCTCTGATAATCTCTCAGTTATTTTGTTTCCATTAGATTTAGTCCAGTTCAGAATACATGTCAGGAATTTTCCGAAGCCTAGAACACTCATTGACTGAGTATAGGTAGCTGGCTGAAGGTAGCATAACAACCATGGACTGATTTAAGGCAGTCTACATAGACAGTAACACTCGTCACATGAAACATACAGAAGACACAATTGATAAAGGAGTTTGATGATAGTATGTTGCTAAGCTAACATCATGGTACTCTAAAAAACATTAATAATTAGTCAATTACATTGAATTAGTTTTTATTCTTTTTAACTTATTCCAGTCTTGAATTAATTTTATTTAAATTTTATTTACTTTTTCTGCCATCTTGTATTAATTTATTTGGGATTGACTTCTCATCAAAGAATAAATTGGTTGCTGCCACAGAATGTGGATTAAATGGGGATTCTTACATAGTAGCATAAATATCATGCTTACCTTTATCTAAAATATTCCAGTCTTGTTTTCAATATCTCGGCTCAACTTTATATATATATGCTTTATAATACCTGCTATAACTATAGTACAAAAATAAAATTAAAGGTGATAATTTGCATCATCATCCAGCAGGTAGAGGGACAATGAAGGAAAATCATTCCTTTTACATTAAAGAAAATTATATGACCATACCTGAAATTGATTTGAGGCTACAGATACACAGTTTTTTCCCACCACCATCATCACGTCTCAGTATTCCTGAGGGCTACTGCTTCTGAGACCTGCACTCAGTCATTTCACTCCTAATTAAGCAACAGTGAGAGAAGCAGGAGGTATAAAGCTCCCATGAGGGACGATGGGAACCTATGTGAAACAGTCCCTCAGTCAATGCTCAGTGCCCAGATGAGGCACTCTATACTCACTTATGCTGACGAAGGAACTACTTAGAGAATTACGTTTCTCTGGAATGTCAGAGCAATTAATCATTGTAGGGTGTTAGAAGATATACTGTAATATAAGTGGCTCAGTGTCTACAATCAAAATAAACAGAAAGCACTGTACATTATGTACAAGAACAAACCAGAACATTCATTTTGCAATTACATTTTGAGGTATAGTATGTAATTGTACTCCACTGCTTTATTTATTCACTATAAGGAAGGACGTTACATGTTTGCCAGCAACCACACGTTGAAATCATCTAAACCGGATGTCTAAACCTGGTTAAGGTAAAGTTTTGCAGAAAAATCAGGAATCGCAAGACCTCATGGTTATGAACCTGTTATGAAAGATACATAACAGGATTTAAAGATTTTTAGTAAACTCCAGCTACTTTTGCAAATAGAAGTCAATCATATATATTAGATGCAGCATACCCGAGATCGGCCATATGTTCAGAATACAGTAACAGAGAGAATATGTAGCAAAGGTCTCTAAATTTGTAGATTTCCTTTTAACTGTCCCAAAAGAACTTGACTATAAAGCCAAGAAACATTTGAACTAAACTCAGATGCCAAATTAAGGCAAATATATGGAATTACATATTAGGGGTGTGAGAATTTTGAAGCAACTACAGTACAGCAAAAAAACAACAAAAAACAAACAAACACATTTATCATTTTTTATCACACTTAATTTGTTTCACTGTGACATTGCACTTCACCCAATTTATCTTCTTTGGTCTCTTGCATCCTTAAAGGCTTTTGTAACACTTCCTTTGAAACACTGAGAGCAACACACATCTACTTAATCTGTAAACGAGGGTTATCATAATGCTTTATTATACAGTATAATGAACTTATTTCATTTTCTTTCTCTCCCTCTCATGCCAAGATAATAAAAACAATAAAGACAGTGGGATTAATTCAGAATTTAGGAATGAACTGCATACTTTATTTGACGTCGCACCTGATTCGCTAGGTTGAGCACTTTACTGAGACCGTACCAATATCAGTCTTATGATTGTGATTTATACACCTGAATCAGCTCTTTAAAATGCTGAGTGTCTCAACTGCACTGTGGGTCTGGATATATGCCCAGATATAATGTTTTTCTCCATCATTTAATCATAATTTGATGATTATTGCTGCTGCACCTTTTTGGGCCCACAAGAAACCCCACGGCTTGATTTAAATATGGTGCAGCATTATGTCAGTGCACTTAGCTCCTGGTTAAACTGGATTGCAGGGTGATAGGGAATAAGACGCATTCATTTCTATGCATATTTTTCACTACCACTGTCATGATTTATATCCAAAAAGGGGGAGGGGAAAGAAGGGAAAGGGCCTGAAATGATTCAATACTGCATGCATCCAAATAAGATTGTCCTCCATCCAGCTCCCAACAGGCTATTTTTAAAGATGTTTAATGAGCTCTGGGATGGGTCTGACAGCCCAGGATGACCGGCTGACAGGGTCAAGGTGCACAGAGGCCTGGTGACTCAGCCTGCAGTAACAAGAGCAAAAACACTGATTACATCCAAACACACACACTGGCTACTGGAATAGCACAACAGCTGTGGGCTGACTATTCATTTTAGTGTAACAATTGTCACACATGGGGCTACTGACCACATGATGTCTCATTTCGGGCAGCATTCTTTCGCACGTCAATAAATGACACCTTATTACCGCCCCAGTGGGAGTTGACTGTTTTATTATAGACATATTAACATTACAAATGCTTGATCCGAAAGTAGATTTTAGATTGATTAAAGATGCTGTACGACAACATCGAGATGTGACTAATTTCAAAATCACCACAAAGAGGTCCCTGAAAATACTTTTTGTAATTACACGAGACCACCGACAAGGTTTGTTTTCTTCTAGCAACCAATGATGTTGTCCAATGTAAGCATTCCTTCTGCAAATGTACGATTATGGACAGAAAATTCTTTTTTTTTCAATCCTGTTTCTGCTAACTGAATTTATTATGTAATATATGAGTTTAGACTTATTTGCATGCGACTGAATGTTTATCATTAACTGTATATATCTCCCTGGGTTTGGCTATTGTGGCGAGGGGGGCGTAGTTTTCGCAAGGTCTGTGGTGAGAGAGAGGAGTCAATAAGCTGTGCGGTGAGTAAGTAGGTCAAGTGCAGATGATGAACACACCTGTGTCTGATTGCAGTGATTGGCATGGAGAGACTGGATATAAGCTGCACAGAGTGAGAATGGGAGAGAGAGAGAAGGACTGGGACTTGTGTGGCGATCAAGAGGAAAGAGTGTGCTGGGGAAAGCAACGCGAGCTGGGTCAGCGTGGAAAGAGTTTTGATTGGAGTTTTGCTGTGCTGTAGAGAAACTACGGTGAATGCGCT